GAAGTAAATAAGCCCTGGATGAAAAACTTCGACAGGAACAGGCTGGATTCAGGAGAAATAAGTCATGCATTGATCAGATCGCCACATTAAGGATCATCATTGAACAAAGCTTGGAATGGCAGTCACTTCTCTATCTCAACTTCATTGACTTTGAAAAGGCTTTTGACTGCGTTGATGAAAGGTAATTTGACAACTGCTTCGCTTCTAAGGGGTGCTGCCAACAATTATACGTCTCATACAACAGTTGTTCGATAATGCTGCGTGCGAAGTAATCCACAATGGGAAACTTACGGAACCCTTCGAAGTGTGAACAGGAGTAAGACAAGGCTGCCTACTATCTCCAATGATTTTCCTAATTCCGGTAGGCTGAATAATGTGACAGACAGACAGCAGGAAACGAGGAGACAGGCATCACGTGGACACAAAATAGCTTGGAGGATCTGGACTTCGCCGATGATATTTGTCGCATTTCTCACAAACTGGAAGATATGCAAGCCAAAAGCAACAAGTTAGCAGAAGAAGCATCCAGAGAATGTAGGAATTCAGGTGAACATAGATAAAACAGAGGTGATGAAAATTCCTGGGCAACACCATCAACAGCAACAACAACAACTGACAACGATCAGCCAGCATAAATGTGAGGAACCTGAAAGAAACAACCTCTTTTACCTACCTGGGAAGCATCGTTTCAACTACAGGCGCACGGAACTGATGAAAATGTCAAAGCAAGGATCGGAAAAGCAAGACAAGCTTTCACTACTCTCAAGTCTGTGTGGAGGTCAACAGCACTCAGCATCAAAAATAAGATCCAGACTTTCAACTCGAATGTGAAGTCAGTGCTACTATACGGATCAGAGACTTGGCGCGTCATAAAGAGCACCTCAAACAAACTGCAGACCTTCATTAACAGCTGTCTTCGCTCAATACTCAAGGTCAGATGGCCAGAAAGGATCAGCAACAGGGACCTTTGGGAACGAACCAACAGGAACCGATTGTGAAACAAATAGGCAGGAAGAAATGGAGATGGATTGGCCATACTCTGAGGAAACCATCAAGTGACATCACTAGACAAGCCATCGCTCGAGTGGAACCCGAAAGGGAAGCGGCGAGTTGGTCGTCAGTGCAAGGGTGACATGGAGGAGGTCATGTGAAGAGGAGATGAAAGCATGTGGGCAGACTTGGAGCCAGGTGAAGACTCTAGCAGAGAACCGAACGCAATGGAGACGCACGGCTGAAGCCCTATGTTCCTCTAGGAATTAAAGGAGACAATAATAATAATAATTTTGTCATATGATCCGATATTATCCGTTCCAAATTATTCGAAGTATGATCCCTAAAAATTGACGAAATGTTATTGTTTAGTGCCGTATCAATATGGAGACAACTTTTGCTATCTGTTTGATGACCCCACCAATATATATTGTACCCTAAGCAGCAAAATACGTCACCCACAGTTTGAGCAGTATCGTAAGCAATAATATCAAAGAGTGTCCAGATGGAAAGAAGATTATTCACTGAGGCTAGAAACTGACAGTCAGATACTCCCGAATTACTGTCTGCAATAACCTCACTGCCGACATAAAGGGATCACGAATTTTCTGTGGATGCACTATTATGGGGTCAAATAAGGCTATACCTGCGGTTTTTGATACTTTCTCCTGATGGTACTTATCAAATAACTCATGGTTAATAAGATGATTGCTTCAAAGGTGAGAGATTTTTTGCGGCAACTATAGTGGTCATTGTGAGGACAGCCATCTTCCGAGATATCACAAAACGGAGTTCCATAGCTTTTAGTGCCTCTACGACACCTCGAAGGTTAGAGCAGAAAGACAAAGATTTCTGGGCCATCTAAATGTTGATGCAGGATTGTAATAAAAATTCATGGACAGTGAATAAAACTTGTTGAGATAAGAGAAGGAATTACAGTAAAAAGAGAAGACTATAGGTCCACCTGTTTATGAAACTGCCATGTGGAAAAACCCGTTTTGCTTCCTCATTCGCATATGAGTGAGGATATAAAAGGGGAGGATATATATTGGGAGACAAATTTTCTCAGTTTTGTTACAATATAATCGAGTAGGTAGAACGGAGGCAGTCAATAGCGGTTTGAATTTCCTCTGGATGTTGGTCCTATGTGATTTTCTGCCACGTGCTTGAGAGACAGCCGTCGTCATGTCAGATGTTACGTTTGGTTGTTGAGCGCTTGTTGTGTCTTAAAACTATTCAGGTAATCACATGTGACCTATTGTGGCGTTCTTTTCAAAATCCAATATATTTTAATGAGCTTTTACAAACATCATGATTTTCCGGAGTTCGCTTCCTTTAGTTTCAGAATAGCTCTGGATCGTGGTGAGATACCAGTAAAATCCATCCACTCGGCAGCCGCATCCTCATTAGATACAAAAAGGAAAATTTGTTTACTTTACGGAGAAAATATGGCGTTTACCTTCATCCGTGTCAACAAATACTCTAGATTAAGCGGAACAATTTAAGAATCAAGAGAATAAAGAAATGCAAGACATTGAAAGCACATGCAAATAAAAGAAGGAATAAATAAAGGCAGTTATGAGAATTACGTTTAAGGAGACGGAACATAATGATGAATTACTCAAAAAGACAGAACATTCGCAGCAGAACGACTCTGCTTCCACCACAAATATGCACAAACTTATAGTTTTTGAAATGCAATCTGACCTTTCTTGAAGCCCTGAAATAAAGGAGATAGTCGCAAAACGAGCAGACAGTAAATTCAACAGGTGGCAGATCCTTTGATTAGGAAATCGTTCCCTGATTTGTAGTTCCTGTGAAATTACCCTGAGGAATTCTAGAATGTTTTTCAGCAAATATTTCACAGATTATGTTCATTGGGCTACGCTTGCACTGAATGTGTGATTATGTAGTAAGTGGAGCTTTTCAGGGGGTTAAGGGTGTGTCGACATACACAGAAAGTATGAGGTATGCAAACACGAGTTCCTATACCAACAACTCACATAGTATCTGTTCTGCACAGACCAAAAAGCAAATTAAAACAATGAAATTACCATCCAGAATACGAAATATGTTTCGGAATCGTAGTGACAGGATGGTTTCTTAACTGCCTAGGGATGGTGAGCGGACGTAACATAACGGCATACCAAATGATGTGGATGCTTGGTCACGAACTTTCAGCTAAACAAGTTAACTAAAACAGTGAAGGTCAGCATCCAGTGTTGTTTGGTGAATGCTGTAGGCTAGTAATTTTTGGGAACTATCTACTGCTACAGGACATACAGACACAGTCTTCGAAGTCTGTGGCCATACGGTGGTGTGTCTTACATAGATAGGAATAAATATATCTTATATTATTTCTGTCTAGTGATGGTTTAATTATCGTCCTGTGAACCTATGAGAGATTTGCGTCTCCTTTAGATGGTGTTGGTTCAATAATTCGATGAACCTGTAAACATAATCCTACGAATGTTTCGGGCAGCTTCATAAAAAATCCCAGTATGTGTCCGTACGGCCTCCTGCACGCAGAATAGGTTGCTCCCATGAATTAGGCTGCATCTACTGCATAATAAGCACTTGTAAATAGTTTACTCCTGAAAAGTAGCTTTGTGTCACGCCTCCTTCATGGAGCAAAATGTTTCCGCATAGCAGTGGGAGAATCATTGTGCAACTGGCATAGGAACGAGTATTGTCTTAGATTTACTACTAATGGGATCTAGCCGATTTTCTCTGGGCCATCTCTTCAGATCCTTTTGTAACCCAATCGATTTTGCCAGAATTTTCAACGCCCTCTAGATATTGACGTCATCTGCTTAGAGAAGGGCTGAGAAACCTATGTTATTCAGTGACCGTCAATAAAAATCACCGCAGTGGTAGCGGTCCCCAGTATTGATCGGAAAAGGTTCTCCCTCGTATGTAATTCTCTACGTCTATTTATGTTCCACTCCAAGACAGCTTGAGGTTATTGATTGCCTTTTAAGAGTAATCTTATAGTTTTATTTCGTGAGACACCAAGTCGAAGGCCTACGCAAGTTTTCAAAACAAGACAGTTACTAGAATATTGTGGTTACGGAGTGACGTTAGTTTATCCGAAGCTACCAGAGATCCAGCAGCTAAGAATAGATTGTGTTAGATGTTTCTTGAAGCGATCGATCCACCACTTTTGATGTTAGGAAGTTACCTAGCTGGGATGGTTTGCCATCCACTCCCTGTGCATGTCGTTATTTGTCGTTACAAGCAGTTCAGCAGTAGTGATGGCACTCAGTAACACCCAGCTGGAATCCTACCTACTCTGAGTGGTGTTGTAGTCACTAATAAAAGTGAGATCTCATAGCCGAGAACACACAGACTGCTTCCATCATTTGTCGTTTGCCCTTAAAGTAGCATATCGTGATCAGTTAACTGCTCGAACAACGGAACTAGTGTTGCTTAGAGTCATCTGTGGGTATCGTCAGTGTTACATTAGCGGCCTAACCTGACCTGAACTCGCTTCTCATATACACTGCAACTCTTCTTCGTCTTTTCTCTACGGCTTCATCCACTGTTTCGAAAAAGAGTATCGACATGTGACAACAATTATTTTACCCAACAAATATTGATTTTTGACAGGGTTTCCAGGTTATGGATGTCATTGAGATTAACTGCCCTCGATTGGTTGCCGGTCTTTGTCTTCTTCCAAGTAAATCTAACTATCCACAACTTGTGTTGGCATAAAAGGTGATCGTTCGCCAGTCGATGAAGTAAAACATACATGCTAAAACCACAGACAGAGGTTGAGTAGTACTCGCCCAATACCTAGGTGAATCTGTGTCATAATTGTTGCAGTGTAACCACTTATTACATAGGCCATGTTCTATTGGTATACTAGAAGGAAAAATCTTTTAAAAAATTTATATATATATATATATATATAACGCATTATGCAAATTAATTACAAGTGGTCACGTCTATGAATATGTATGTAAAAATATAAGTAAAAAAAAGATTACAAGATAAATTATTTTCGCAGATTAATTGCAGATTCCATGAACTTTATGAAGAAAAGTTGAAATATTTTTAAATTTCAAATTTTTCCCATTTTGTAAATCTGGTGACTGATGATAGACCTTCATAAAGTAAAGAAAAGAGGAAACAATTGTATATATAAAAATTTTCCTTATAATTTCCAGTAGGTGTAACACATATGAAGTAGATATGTTTATTACAGTAGAAATTAGGTATAACAATTATGCAATAAATTTAGAAGCCACGATTACAGTATCGAATGAAAGTTAATTTGGCAGAAAAAAGAAAACAAAAATTAAATGAGTAATAGTGATGGTTATTCTCAAGAGTTGGTTTGTAGTGATTTGACTGGTTTCAAGTCTGACTACGGATTGACATGAGTTGGAGAACTGCTAAAAACCAAAAAACACTAGATAGGCAACCGTTTCGTCCCAGTTTGGGACTCGCTGACAGTACGCTCGCAGGGACTGGTTGCAGGACGAAGTTGGCTGCAGGACTATTGAGAATTCGTGACCGATGGAGTCCGGCTGTTCGGGAGTGAGGACAGATACTCACCAATGACATCAGTTGGTAATCGCACCAAATCACGAATTGGGAGAAATAAGAATTCATGAACTGGCGATAGAATCGAGTCCCAGTGGCTTACCTAGTAACCGGAAATTCTTGTGTTCCAGTCCCGATGGGAGCAAGCTGATGATGAGTCCCAAACTAGGACGAAACACCTGTCTAGTACTCTCTGGTTTTCAACAGTTCTCTAAAAGATATCAATCCGTAGTCGAACTTGGAATTAGCTATTTTACTGAATATCACCACTCAATGGGATGCTGGTTAGTCTTAAATAAGATGAAACAAGCACCTGTAGTTCTGATGCTAGCCATTTTTGATTTAATAATAATATTAGCACAATTTATCAGACGATGCTAAACAAAAAATTAACAAATATATACAATATACATATGCTGGTGTCATTGGTTTCGAGTCTTCAACCTCTGAACGTGATTTCCGTGTAAACTCTAACCAAAGAATTCACATATAACTTAATAGACTTCACAACGACAGCAAGTGACTTTATTGCAGGTGGTCTATTTCAGTCTGATCACTCTTAGTTTTAACTAGCAATATTGAGTCACCTAACTTCGCGTGCCAAATATACAAGTCCACAACATCGGAGAGCTAGAAAATCCTCATTCCAAACCTATGACGCACATAAGCTCTAGAAATCGATACGAACGAATTGTATGAAAGATAAATCAAACCACTGGCTTGCTTGGAAAGTTAACATATGCAACTGAGAATAGAAAAAAATCAAACAGTTGTGGACATACTGTAACTTCCTTCCTAAAGGAACATAGGGCTTTAAAGACTTGAAGTTTCACTGTCAGTGGTGGTGCTGTTATTTTACAGGATGAGGATGCTAGCCTCACACACACACACAACCTTCCCTCCTTAGCGGGCTTATTACTGGCTAAGCGAGGTTTAAGAGTGTATGGAGTCTGGAACAATAGACTTATACAGTTTTTCGTTAGGTGTTAAAATTAGAAACATTGTACATAACGTTTGTTTAAAATGATTCTTTGTAAAACTGTGGTGAGAGGTGGCTGCTAGCCAAAATTGGTAGATAGTAATTTACGTCAATGTGTACATCTCAATATTGGTCATGAGGAAAATAAGAACAAAGACTAACTCAACAACCAATCACAGCAGACTTTGCGTGGGCAGATACGATTAGCAGATATATGGACTGACCTTCAAAGAAATGGTCACAAAGAGATGACAGAATAATTTCCAGTGTGAAAACGACCAATCAGAAGACTGTGTTTGTTTCTTTAAAATAATCTATAATAATGTACATGAAAATCTATAAATATCTCTTGATTTCGTGAATAAACGATCTGTCGCCTGGCCCTTGTCTTCTGCTGTTAAAAAATATACATAACATCGGAGTACAGTTTAAGATACCGTGTGCTGCTCGACACTACTTCTTCTCACTGGTCCAAATTTTCTACTTGCTTCACTACTAACCGTGTTGTTGTATCCTTTGAATTTTGCAGGAATCCTTCATCCTCATCAGAGGTCTGTTCTACAACCGGTGTACAGCTTCTACTAGTAGACATGACCCTTAGCAGTGAACACTTCTCAGGATTATATTAATGATTTGTAGCAGTGGACTTTAAATGTGTCACTAAATAATCATTAATTTCTACAACTCGTTACCTGTAGTTCTCATAATATACTGTTACAATGTTATTTCATAAGGCTTAGTTTTTATTCTAATATTTCTTAAGTTATCGAGTTTGCCGGGTGGGAATCGAACCGAAGAAAGGTGAGCGGTTGGCGAGGGCAGTCTATCCCCTGACCACCACCACCGACACACCAAGCTTGTAACTAAATTAAATTAATGGACCATTAAGTATGCAGAGCACATACACTATGTGGAAACTGAGGGATGACATTTAAACGCTATTAATCAACCGAATACTATACACAGTAGTTCAATTACACAAAAGTGACACTACAAAGACCCACAGTTAAAAAAAAACTATGTTCAGTTACAGGATTTCATCATGAACTGACATCGGTTAGAGAACCATTGGAAAACTAACTGGCAGTACTGCACAGACAGCTGTTCTGTCAGCCTGGTTTGGGACTCTTTATCAGTATGCACCCACTACAGAGGCTCTAATGTGAAGCCTTCTGGTTACAAGGCTAGTGAGCTCGTAGACCGTTAAGCCACTAGGATCCGATCCAATGGCCAGTCCATGAATTCCAACTTCTGCCAATTCATGATATAGCGCGACTGGCACTAGCCAATTTCATCGCTGGCGCGAGTATTTGTCCTTACGCCCAATCTGCTGTGCCCTACTGGCCACGACTTCTCACTAGAAGCGAGGTAACTACACCTACCTGAATAGGGCCAGTCGCTATGTTTGCTATCTCAATAAATGAAATTCTTAGGGAAAAAATCCAGATATCTCATCTCGTAAATGCCCTAACTTGCATAAAAAAGTGTCAAAATTTTTTCAATATTTTTTTAACACATCCTCAGTTATACGTGCACTTACTTGTATCATTTTAAACGGTTTTATCAATCTCCCAGAATACAGACTTTGTATCTCGGAATCATTAAGTTGACTAATAAGGAGAGTCCATGTACATCCAGGATCAAGAGACCATACGGTTTCCAGGCTAAATATTGATGCCTATAAATATAATTGTGAGAAAATATCAACAACAAAAAAACAAACAACATAAAAATGGAAAAGACAATCAGATCGAAAACTCATGATAATACTTCCCTCTCCCCATTTAGGAGATCTATCCTGGCTAGCAAGTTATAGTAATAATCTTAAACGAATAGTTGCGTAACATTCATTCATTCAATCATCGTTCCTCAGTATGGGATCATGAGCAGAAAAGTCAGACGATATCAGAAGAGGAGTACTCAATAAGCTGGACATCAGAGTTTTCTTCAAAACAACAGACACACTGCAAAGCAACCTTGTCCATATAAAAAACCAAATCCCTAAGCATTCTCCATCTAATTGTGCCTATAAAATAAAATGCTTGCAATGTGATGTGATGCAATATACATCGGACAATCACCTCGAGAAATGAAGATCAGAAAAAATGAACACCGTAGAGTATCTGTTCGACCACCGAGAAATCCGGTTGAACTAGGAAAAGCTTGAAAAATTATCAGCCATAGCTCGTCTACACGCTACGCTCTAGGATCAGGACACAAAATTGATTTTGACAATATTGAAATAATCCAGAAGAATTTTAGAAATCATAAAGAACGTCCCATGTCATCAGAAGCACTTCATATCAAGTGGAATCCAAATTGTCTGATGAGTAGGAATGATGGACTTAAACAGAATTTGACCCGGTTATAACACCCACACGCTCTCCCATGAAATGACAAAATCAACACGAATATGATAAGCAATTTCATTACGTAAACACACGCCGTTTTTATAATTTTACACACTTATCAAATCCAGCAATCTACACCCGGTTTTATTATCTTTACCAATTGGCCAATTTGACAACGGAAAAATGAACCGACGCTCAGGAACGATGATTAAGTTGTTATATAATGCAAGCTGAGTGGATTTTGTAAATTTTGGTTAATTAACACTACTTTGATAAACCTATTGGTAGCATTAAGTAGCGAAACGTGAGTAAAAACAACGATATCGTTTTGTTTTTCATTCACACTGGGACATACAAAAACCTTTATTATAATCATTATGAATACAATACAATAAACATAAGGGTTATTACATTACGGTTGAATGAAAAGAATATAATAGAAAGTTAAACTAGCCTTTTGTAGTTCTTCTGGTTGTGAATCATCTAAATACTTGACAAGGACATTGATTACAGATTGTAATGACTGAGACGATATATTAGTCTAAAAGAGATAAGAACGAAAATGAAATTAGCGAAAAGAAAATCCAATAGACCAAGGCGAAAGACAAGTTTCTTTGTTTACGAAGTCAGCTTCTAAAGCTGTACAATTGTCAAACATGCTACAGATCTCTCCATCAAACAACCGTCTATATTGGATACTACATATGATGGAGAAGGTTTGTAGCTCAGGTGGATGATTTATTTACGGAGCTTTCATTGTCCTTACTGACTTACTAGGAAACATCTTCAACACATATTTCAATTTGATGAAGTGAGCTTTCAGATTTCTCCACGAGTTTATTAGTCATCTCTCCTGGCGGGTGACCTTGAACATGATTGGCTGTTTTCGTGTGTTTTCACATCATCTAGGCTGCTTGTATTGATATTAATGCTGATTGCTTCCTTGACTTGAATTTTGACCCTTTGTGTGTGAGATTTCCTTCTTATCGATCGGTAAATTTAGTCTATCTCGATGTTTCTATTGATTGACGATTCACTGGAATACCAGACGGGCTTCTAAAAATTCTCCGGCTAGCATTCTTGGTATTTCATCTGCCTAATATTTGAACTTTGGTTGTCCCAGTCGAATTGATGTCCGTGGTTGTCTGTACGTAGTGATATGAGGGAGTGGATGTCATGTCTTTTGATGGCTAGGTTATGATCATGGATATGAAGACGAAGAGGACGTCAACTTTGGTAAATGTAATGCTTTTCGCAGTCATCGCAATTTATTTTGCAGATGATGTTTGGTTTTATCTTCTTTTACTGTTGAGTCTTTTGGTTGACACACAGCTGACTGAATGAAATGATTTTGTTGGTTTATATGCGACATCAATTCCTAAAGGTTTGAAGAGTCTTGCGTTGAATCCTCAATTAATAGACACATTGATATAGACAAAACTTACTAATCGATTAGAAGGAAATCTGACACACAAAGTGTTAAACTTCACGTGAAGGAAACAGTCAACACCAATACCAAAAAAAGTAGCGTAGAAGGTGTAAAAGCACATGAAAACAACCAATCACGAGGTTCGAGGTCACCCACCAGGAGAGATGACTAACAAACTCGTGGAGAAATCTGAAAGCTCACTTCATCAAATTGAAGTATGTGCTGAAGATGTTGCCTAGTAATTAGAACGACAAAAGTTCTCAAATAAACCATCCAGCTGGCTCAGAGAACACAACTATATCAAAAAAATTACTGGATACTGAATATCCAACAGTAGGTTGGAAAGGATGAGTAGCAAGGAACTCTGGCGACCACCAGCTAACGAAGAACCTATCTCCCGATAGATATGCAGTAGGTAATAGAAATGGATTGGTCCTACACACACTCAGGAGGCGGTTGAATGAAATCACGCGCCCCCACTGTCAAATGGATCCCTACTGGAATTGAATGAATTAGACAGTCGTGGGTGATATGGAGAATATAATGCGAAGAATGAATGAAGGCTTGTATGTAGTCGAGGATCCAGTTGCAAGTTGTATCAGAAAACCTACAGGGTAATTGAGATATGCCACGGGGATATCATATTCTACTCCAAACATAATGAATGAATAGTAATAACGTAATATTAATTAAGTAGGAGGTGTGGTATAACCGCCTCAGTTATCCAAAAGTGTTTTCTTACACGACACAGAGAAATTTCGTACTAGTCAACGACGCAATCAAACTAAGAAATTCAATCATTACAAATTATTTTAAATGATACCAGTGTGTTTAAGAAAAAAAACAAGAAACCAACATTTTTCTGAACGTTTCACGGTGTAAGTCACAGCCAGCTTCTTCTTCGCCAGAATTATTCGGATTTTACTAACCACCAAAATATATAGTCAGCAGTTACATAAATTGAAGTGAGTTCCTTTGAACGTTACCTCTCAGTAGACATTTGTACCAATGGAAGAATATGTGGAACAGTCATCACATATTTGTAATGACTAATATCAACTTGTCATACGTGCATATTTGTCCGCATAAGTGGGTGCGTGTGTCCGTATGTTGTTTGTTGTATGGGAAACACACGAAAACATGATAATATTTCACAGCGGTCATAATGTAGGATTGAACAGTTTTGTATTTCCCCCTCATATGTTTTGCTTCATTAGAGAGAGTCTGTCTCTCCTAATTACTACGTTTGATGTGGTTAAAATGTATGCAAGGCTTCAGAGGTCAGCCTTTCTCTATGTGAATGAAAGCCTATATTCCTAGAATCAAAACATATCAAGTTTGCTAATGAAGTTTAATCGGATGAAGGAAATCTAAACTTTTTGGATTGTCTTGTAAAAAGACAAACTGACGATGAATAAGAAACCGACAAATCCATACAAATATTTAAGTTTGTGGTCGGATCATCCAATAAGAATGAAAATTTCAGTAGCTTGAAATCTCGTTAACAGGGCTAGAAACACTATAACAACAGGTAAGGATGATATGGAGGAGATATCCAATATAAAACAAATTTTGATTGGAAATGGTTATCCGAAATACCTACTAAATAATATTATCAATAAAAAGGACCAGAAGGGAAGACAGAAAATCGAAAATTCTTGGATATGGACCGGTGATAGCCATTCCATACCGAAAAGAGACAGCTGACCAAATTCAAAGACTACTTGCTGCATATAATATTGAAGTCTATTTCAAGTCGTGTAATTCTATAGAGAAAGCTTTGGTGAATGTCAGAGATATGGTTCCCAAAATGTCACAAAACAACTGTGTCTATAGGATAAATTGTTCAGAATGTGAAGCTTGCTATATAAGGGGGAGCAGTTGACAGGTGGAGGTTACAGTGTATGAACATAGACTGTGCACTAAATGTCCACCTAGAAATGAAGTAGAATTAAGAAATCCAGAGAAAAGATCAGCTGTAGCAATGCATGTGTTATAGACAGCGGACATAAGATTGATTTCGACAATGTCGAAATTCTAGAAATAGGCTTTCATTCACATATAGAAAGGTTGACCTCTGAAGCCTTGCATACAGTTTAACCACATCAAACGTAGTAATTAGGAGAGAAGGTTTACACTCAACATCACCTAATAAAACAGACTCTCTCTAATGAAGCAAAACAGATGAGGGAGAAAATACAAAACTATTCAATCCTATTTTATGACCGCCGTAAAAATATTATCATGTTTTGGCGTGTTTCTCATACAACGAACAACATACGCACACACACACACACACACACACACACAGTCATGTGGACAAATATGCACGTATGACAAGTTGACACTAGTCATTACAAATGTGTGATGACTGTTCCACATTCTTCCATTGGTACAAATGTCTACCGACAGGTGACCATCAAAAGAAACTATTTAAATTAATGTAATTTCTGATGGTTAGTAAAATCCGAATAATTCTGGCGAAGAAGCTGGCTGTGACTTACATCGTGAACATTAGAAACAATTTATAATCATTCAATCTGACTCGGCACTCAAATTATCTCCAGTAAATTCGTAACATCTACAGTGTGGAAACTTATAAAAGTTTGGAGTTCAAAGAAATATAAATTCAAAACTAGATGAGAAATAATTTGGTTGAGTGTTCCACTTGATAAGCGAGTGAAAATGTGAGGAAAAGAACTGACGAGTAAAATGCCCAAAAGCAACATGCATAAGTGATAACACGAAGTAACTTTATACTAAAAGAAAGACAGCAACAGAACAAGACAATCCAACAAAAACCTTTTCCATACACTGAGTTTAAGGGGTTGTGGGGATGAACCGTTTGCACTTTTGTGAACCATACACAAGGATAGACTACTCACTATACATTTTAGTGTATACAAGTAAAATTATACAGTCTTTGTCAGTAAGGGAAAACAACACGAGAAAACAAAACGAAGTTTACTTACTTGTTTACAAAGTGATCCTAACTCATGTAACAGATACTTTTGTACACGATGGGATGTCAAGTACTTGTACGATTTAGATGACGATGCACTGAAGTGAAACGACAATAACAACAAAAAAGTGTGTGTAGATAAATATACAAGGGAAAAAATTAAATAAGAAACAATTTTTCGTTAAAAAAATAACAAAAACGAGGAGCATGAACACAATCAATGTGTATCTTTCTCCAGCCAGCTTTAATAAAAGGCTATTGTTATATAGTTATTGTGGTAGATATATGACAATGTTACATGTCACGTGATCCACAACGGAAAACTCAGCGAGGCGTTTGAAGTAAATACAAGAGTAAGAAAAGGCTTTCTGCCTACTAATGTCACCGATGACATTCTTAATTGTGGAGGACTGGATCATGCGGAGGCCAGTGCACAGGGAGTAAGAAGACAGGAATACGTTGGACACATAAGAAGACTCTAGAAGATCTCGATTTCGCGCATGGATGATTTATGTTTAATGTCACACAAACTCGAAGAATTGCAGGCAGACAGGCGAAAACCAACAAACTGGCAGACGACACGAGCAGGCGGCGAATACAGTACTTCAGGTGGACATAGAGAAGAGAGAGATAACCAACCAACATCAACCACAAACAGCACTATTCACCATCCAACGGAAGAAACTTGAAAGAGGTCACTTCCTTCAGTTATCTGGCCAGCAAGCAGGGTTTTAACCACAGGTGGCGACAGAACGGATGACGATGTCAAAGAAGGGGAAAATACGCCTTCATCATTCTGCTTTCGGCTCTACATTGAATGAGTAAATACAATTCGGTTTTTTCATATTCCTTTACCTCCTGAGTGGAACGTACGGCTTCAAGCTTGAGCTTTGAAGTTGCAATAGTGTTGATTGTTTACCGGGTAGAGTTGTTAGCCTCACGCTCAACTCTCCATCTGTACCAGGCTTACTACCGCATAAGCGAGGTTTATGCCTGCGCCGACTGGAAATCAACCCTGAACCATGAGAATGGTTGGTGAGCACTGTACAACTGAACCACTAAGGCACATTTGGAGTTCAAGAATATAAAATACGTGTACGGAGTTCAGTTAAGCGGAATGTGTTACCACGGACGAATAGGTGTATCTCTAGTATATCAGTTGAGTTGTCCATTGCGTCATCATTATTATAACCACACGCATCAATTCACTTGATCATATCTCTTAACGACAGGTCCATGGCAGCTCCATAGCTAAGTTTAATACATCTGGCGTTATCATAAAGTCTAAAGTCAGTTGTTCCATGATGTCTATTCAGAGTGATATGTATTAAGAACGTCTATTATTTCCAACAGGTGAACATAGAGAAAACAGAGGTGATGAAGATTCCTGGACAAGAACAACAACAGACAACAATCAGCATAAATGGGAGGATCCTGAAAGAAACAACCTCTTTTACCTACCTGGGAAGCATCGTTTCAACTACAGGCCAAAGGAACTGACGAGGATATCAAAGCAAGAATCGGAAAAGCAAGACAAGCTTTCACTACTCTCAAGTCTATGTGGAGGTCAACAACACTCAGCATTAAAAATAACATCCGGATTTTCAACTCCAATGTGAAATCAGTCAGTGCTACTATACGGATAAGAGACTTGGCGCCGCGTCATAAAGAGCACCTCAAACAAACTACAAACCTTCATTAACAGTTGTCGTCGCTCAATACTCAAGATCATATGGCCAGAAAAGATGAGCAACAGGGATCTCTGGGAACGAACCAACCAGGAACCGATTGTGAAACAAATAGGCAGGAAGAAATGGAGGTGGATTGGCCATACTCTGAGGAAACCATCAAGTGACATCACTAGACAAGCCATCGCTCGAGTGGAACCCGAAAGGGAAGCGGCGAGTTGGTCGTCAGTGCAAGGGTGACTTGGAGGAGATCTTGTGAAGAGGAGATGAAAGCATGTGGGTAGACTTAGAGCCAGGTGAAGACTCTAGCAGAGAACCGAACGCAATGGAGACGCATGGCTGAAGCCCTATGTTCCTCTAGGAATTAAAGGAAACAATAATAATTATTATTATTTCCAACAGCAATCAAATTCATCATAGATAAACTGATACGAACCTCTTCACCCATAACCGATTAAATGACGACTAGCCTCTCCAATGACAGATACCTCACAGTTGATTTACAGTATACAGAAAACATGACGAAGTCCAACAATAGCGTCCCAGGAGGAGTGCGAACGCTCCAATGACCTTGAACGCATGCTAGTCGTCGGCTGACGGTACCTGTCATTATCATACCTGAAATATCAACGCTATTCACCAACTTAGGAGCAAATTTCACCCAGATCACGTTTTTAAGTACTGTTTGGATAATGTGTTAATAGCTCTTTAGGGTTAGGATCAGGGTCATAGTTACGATCAGGGTTAGATTTACGGTTAGGATAAGGATTGTAATTAGGGTTAGGATTATGGATAGATTTAGAGTTGATGACATTTATTTTAATTTGTTTTCTTATCCACATTTTCCTGGTAAGTAGTCGTCGATCCTCTTAGTGAAAACCATTGTAGCTCAACTGAAGGCCTTCGGGGAAGACTACACACCAGGATAAGAGATAAACGATTCAGAAAAACAGCTCATTTTCAGTCACCTCACTTGAATACATGTACAGAAACTAGTATAACTTAGCAACTGATACTCCTCATTATAACTGGGACGTATTCTCAAGTATTGTCAGAGAAAGATAACCTGTTTAATGTGTTTTCAGGCATTTTCTTGTAAATATACGTAATTTTCTGCGCAAAAATTCACCACTTCTATGATTGGTCGGCTGAAGGTCAATAGTGCGTTCGCATCCCTTGGGACGCCATTGCTGAACTTTACCTAGAACATGCCACCTCTGTTAGAGAAAGATGCCGCCTAGACACAGCGTTATGCATACCTGTTAATTGATAACTGGAGCCGATATTATAAAAAGGATTAAGAGGCAGTCAAGAGCGGCTAGATCAAAGAAATGCGAAATCTATCCATGATGAAACTGACCACTAATTATTGGTCAGAATTCAGTTATTCGGAATATATTTTTCATGTACTCCTAGTGTGACGTGTGCTAGTGTGATAAGAAAGAGACGTTTGTCGGCTTAAAAATATATCAAACAGCAAGGAGGATGGATTTGACGTCAAAGAGAGCAAATGATTCAGCGTTGCGGCAAAACATGGGAGACGTGAAAAGGAAGACGAAGAAACACAATACGAAGGAAGACCAGAAGTAGCACAACATGGAAGATCTCTGCAAATGATCCTTTGGAGATAAGTTGTACATAATTTCGCTATTTAGCGACACCAAATTCAAATAAACATTTCTTTAACAAGTCTTTTGTCTTCTACCGTTACACTAGACAATTTGCCACCCTATCCAGTTGCTCAAACTGAAATAAGTAGGACGGTATAAAAACCCGGGAGCCGCTAACCAAAAGTCATGTGCTCATTCCGATGGCGGCAGGGGTGGTATCTCCGCTGATTTGAGTGATGTACTAAATTCTAGGTTTTCAGGATGGGATCCATGCATCAACAGATATTTATAATTTGGAACATCAGTTGGTATGATTTACATTTTATCAATTTGGACCGCACAATTTTTTATAATGCTAATGCCTATGATTATACTCACTGTCCAGAAGAAAGATACAAATTCACTTCAGCGCAAACATATTTACGGTTATTATTATTAATTAGTGTTAACCACGGTGTATTGGTGGTACCGTGGTAGAACACTGGTCAACCATGCAAGTGGTTCGAGGTTCAATCTCCGGTAGACGCATTCCTCCTAAACCTAGTTAAGGCGACAATAAGACAGGTAAAGATGGAAGGTTGAGAGGGGCATGAGGATAGCAACCTCACCATCCTGTAAATATTAAACCAATGCTGCCGAAACTTCAAAACTCCACAGCCTAAAGCCCTATATGTTCCACTGGGAACGCAAATGAATAAATAAATAAAAAATTCTTAGCGCATATATTGATTAGGTAAAAAAACAGCTAACCTTATAGAAGCACTTCGTGTTAAAAACATCACTAATGGTGGAATAATTTCAGATGATGCACGTTGTCGAATAAAGTTTCCAGCAACTTTAGACAATATGGTTAAGAGGTCAAATGCCTATTTTTTTACGAAAAAAAGAAAGTGGAAGAGAAGTGGAGATATTATAAAGTTGATTTCGATTGAAACTTAATAGTGTTGTGGTGAGAGCTGTCTGAGATTAGTTGAAACTAGTTCGAACACTCCAGTGTTTAGACATCATTAGTATGGCTGATATATATATATATATATATATATATATATATATATATATATACTAGTGTTTAATTTCTGACTAATTTCAACGTAGAACTTTGCACAGATGTACAGCAGTTCCAGTTGGTACACTCTCTCTATGTACCACAAAAAGCAAGAGATAATAAACAGAAGGGTGAATGAGGAAAAAAGAATAGTAATATGGAAGAACAATATAATTTTACTGGACATGACAAATACCAAAGAGTGAATGACTCCGCGCTAGCCATTGACAACGACGGCTTCGAGCCAAATTACCAATTGTCTCCAGCTACCATTGGTTTTTATCATCCCAAGGGCCCCAACCATTAAGGAAGTCTACATCTGACTACGTGAGTGGCTTAAACTAACTGTTGTGGATCTCTTACAGGATTTCATCATGAGCTGACATCGGTTAGAGAACCATTGGGAAACCTGCAGGGAGTACTGGACAGTTGTTTTGTCCTACCACGGACACCACTACTTGTCATCACTTCAAATGACAACTCTCCATAAGGTCTTACACGGTTTCATGAGTTCGAGTACAACTCCTCGATTAGATCGATACACTTTCTCGGTCAAACACTGCCACAGAACCTTCCGGCCGACCAAGTCAATATTCTGCCTTCAGGTTAAAGAATATGCTAAATGTTGGACACCGGAATTTGTCCAAAGGTGAAGATAGAACTAATGCAACCTATTCCTCGCCCAAAGCCTGTCTGGTTTTCTAGGGACACAAAGTCACCTATTATTTAGGCACAGCATAGTAGCCAACTGTGGCAAAGAAGAGTGGGCAGGGTGAGATAGGAAGAGAGAGGCTCTATAAGGCACACAATTAATCCCAATAAAAATATATATAAGTAAATAAATACAAAAAAAGAACAAACGGAAAAACTTACTTTTTCAACAACTATAGCATGACTATCTCGAAATCTCATCATTAAAGAAGCCCATATTTTATGAACAATAGGGAGTAATAATTCTATGGGAAGAAAAAACACGGAGTGAAGGTTAATTACAAGACATCAAGGTGAAATGCGTTTCAACTGCTTCCCCGATGGAGTACGTCAAGAATTAAACAAAAAAACAGAGGCATCGTTGGAAGATATTTTGTAATAGCCGTCAAAGATGCCACTGTTTTTCAATCTTATAATATATGTGATTTAAACACCACTACTCAAAACCTGATATCTTTAGTGTATCGCAGCCACCACTTATCATCATGTGAAGGATGACGATAGTTTTACTGCCTAGTAGGATGGAGTGAATCACGAAAAACATTTCCAACAGTCTACAGCAGACTTTTATCAACAGCTGCCTACTTCGCTGGCTCTATATTGAAAATCAAATGACTGGGGCCAGAAAGAATTCGCAACAAGAAACTATGAGAACAATCTAGCCAAGAATTCATCGATCAACAAATATGTAGAAGAAAATGAAGATGGATAGAGTTCACACTGAGCAGACCGCCGAATGACATAGCGCTCCAGGTCAACAGTCAAGTAGAAGCCGAATGGGAAACAACAAGTGGATCGTTCGAGGGTGAGACACAGGAGATAGGACCAGGAGAAAATGAGAGATTACGGGTAATCGTGGGGTCAGCCAGCTGAAGAGGACAGTAGGAAATAGAACAATGTGGAGATGTATTATTGAAGCCCTATGTTCCACTCGGGACCCCACGAGATATTAATAATAATAGCATTGAAATCAAAAGGCAGATTTTCAGTGTATGAAATATGTACATCAACCAACAGTGACCAAAAGCAGTGACAAGTATATACATGTTAGTTGAGAAAAGATTAACAACAATAATAAATAAAACTCACCAGTTTCACTTTCTAAAGCTAAACAACCCTCTTTAATAACATTCATTGAAAGTATGCGCAGTCTGGGATTTCCGTCAGACATTAGATGTATGCATCGTAATATAACCTTTTGAAACCAAAAGAAAAATAACATAAAGTATTACACAGGCAGAGTAAAACACTAATAGTGATGATAATAATAAACACATCTGTAAGACTCAGCGAAGGAATTCCACTAAAAACGAATCTCAGACGTTTAGGAAATATATTTACTTCTATCCCTCACAGCAAGACAAGCTTTCATTACTCTCAAGTCTGTGTGAAGGAGATCAACAGCACTATTCAACATGAAAAACAACATCCAGATTTTTAACTCCAGTGTGAAGTCAGTGCTACTTACTATACGGATCAGAGACTTGGCGCCGCGTCACGAAGGCCACTTCGAACAAACTACAGACTTTCATCAACAGCTGTCTTCGCTCAATACTACTGAAGATCAGATGACCGGCCAGAAAAGATCAGCAACAGGGAGAAATCTCTCTAGGAGCGAACCAACCCAGCAGGAACAAATTGTGCAATAAATATGCAGGAAGAAATGGAGGTAGGTGCATTGGCCATACTCCGAGAAAACAAATCATCAAGTGACATCACACGCCAGGTCATGGCTCGAGTGGAACCCGAATGGGAAGCGAAGAGTTGGTCGTCAGTACAGGGGTGACATGGAGGAGATCATGCGAAGAGGAGATGAAAGCATGTGAACAGACGTTGACAGAGAACCGAAGGTAATGGAGACGTGCGGCTGAAGCTCTATGTTCTTCTAGGAACTAAAGGAAACAATATTAATAATAATTTAATTTCTCACAGTCATAACCTTTCTCGTTGAGCAATTTTAGTTGACAATGAATTGGATTGCAAAGGAATGACGGGTGGTCAAACGAGAAACCTAGTATCAATTCATGAAATCATTGACCGTTGGTTAGAGCTAAGAATGGGACGTATACATAGAATATAGTTATAATTCACTTGGTTTTATTATAGCCAGAGGATTCACGGATTCGAATTCCGGCTGTACTAAACTCCACCTGTACAAATGAATAGTATGATCAACGTTTCTTACACAATACATGAACATGGCCGACAGTCTGATAAAAGAACAGTCTGCTGAGAGTAGATAAATACCAACTAACAATTATATACATAGAATATTCTAGAATAGTCGTCAATAACAATATTCATGTTTTTTAAATAATATCGATTTGTTAAGTAAGATCACAATGGAATTAATTATAGTTCATTAAAGATGCTTAAATTATAATAAGCATAAAAATGCAATAGTAACCAGAATATTAAATAAAATTGAGTAAATTCCTACAACAAATTAAGGATCATTTAAACCGTGATGGCCGGTTAGCAGCGGCGTAAGGAAAGCGTCTGAACCAAATTCTTTTGGATACATAAATTAGGTTTCTTAATGTGGATCCTGCCTATCTTTAAGCTAGGAATTGGTGTATTCCAGTCCTGTAGCAAGCAAGCTTCATCTTACATTTGGCAGCACAGCGAATTGCTCTCATGCCAAACATTCGTAGATTTCTGCTCCTCAAGGTGTTCAGAAGATTCTCTACATCTTGTCAACATCGTCACCCAGCAGGGAAGACTGTATAATCTGCATATTCTAAGTCAATCAGGCTTCCAACGTCATTTACCGCATACAAACAAATCTTAACTTCGCCTTAAGAGTTCGACTACTAAATATTGCTGAGGCTGACTGTTGGGATCCACGTTAAGAAGCCTAATTTATGTGTCCAGAAAAGCTAGTTCAGACACTGTCCTTACCCCTCTGGTCATCTAGGTTCGAATGATCCTCAATTTTTTGTAGAAATTTCCTTAATTTTAGTCGAAATTCTATTTGGTATTATATTTGTATGCTTATTATAATTTATGTATCTTTCGTGAACTGTAATTCCATTAATGTCGCTTAACAAATCGATATTATTTAGACAAAAACACTGACAGGAAGAAAAATGCAGGCTAGACTACTACTACTATTACTCTACATCACACTCACTTCTTCAACTATTTGTAAATGATCAGGAAATGTATGATTTTTATTTTCATCGCCTTCATTATCCACATGATTGCTTGATTGCTTTTCATAGTCATATATTCTGTTGGTATTTTCCTTGTTGTTTGACTTCTCCTGACTAACATCATCATCATCGCCATTCGATTCAATATGATGGAGACGACGAGTCTCAGATATCAGGTCTAATGTTTTCTGGTATATACTGGATAATATTGATTCATTATTATTATACTGACAGGAGTTATTTACCTAAGAACAAGAAAGATAATCAAATATGTGATTATGATTATTATTATTATGAAACTGAATGAAATTCGGTTAGAATATAAAGTGCGACTCACTCTGTTAATCAGAGAGAAAAAATGTTACTCAACAGTCTCATTAGCAATTAGACTGATAGACAGACATTTTCTACGTGTACTTTTACATGTCTCGTTGTATTTCTCTTACCCCACTTATAACCTTGTAATCCTATTGGTTGTTGATTGTTTTAATTCATCAATGTAATTAGTGTCCCCCAAGGTCATTTTAGACATATATATGCGCAAGCGCTGTCAATCATTTTCTCTACTGATACAAGAAAGTAAGAGCCTTTCCACGTCAGTAGTCAGTCTTCTCCTCTTGCATCGAGTTTTCGGTTGCTGTTGTTGTTAGAACAAGAGACTCGCAAATCGACTAGGTATGGGGATTCATCAGCGCGATTGCAGATATATTAACGGTCATATCAGAGACACATGTAATGTTGTGGCGAGTGCTACTGATAAGATTTATCAGTAGTAAATAAAGAGACGTTCATCGGCATAAAAAAACATCAAACAGTAGGAAGATAGATTTGACGTCAGTCAGAGAAAGCAAATGATACAACAGCGTTGCGGAGATACATGGGAGACGTGACAGAAACACAAAGAAACACAATATGAAGGAAGGGCAGAAGTAGCACAACACGATAGATCTGTGCAAATGGTATGTTGAAGATAAGGTAGGTATACATAATTTGGCTACACAGAGATACCGATTTCTTTATAAACATTCCTATACCAAGTGTCTTTTTCTATTACAGTTCCAATGTATGAGCGTTTTCTAAACCTTAGTAGTTAGAGTGGGTTTTGAATGCATAACCGTGTGACTGGAAGTCAAACACGCCTAGTTAGTTCAAACGGTATTGAAATTTGGAAAGTCAAATAGAGTAACCACAAGGAATAAAAGAAACAATAATAAAATTGCTTCCATGTGAAATCTAAAGAGTCTACAGTAATAAGTGAGTTTAGATATCAACGAATGATAATCTTTTTCCTTGAAATTGTAGTTAGGTCTCGTGAATAACTAACTGGCAAAGACAATGAGTTCTTTGTAAACTTATTTGATTGTATTCTCTGTCTAAACATAAGGTCGAGAACGATGTTGTGCTAAAAGCCAATTAAAACAGTGCTAAATTTGTTGAACACCACTTTATTACCATTCTCTGTTTTTACGCGAACCTAGCTGGCGAAAACCAATTTCTTATTGTTATTATTGTATTCATTCCATGCGTTCGGAGTGGAACATAGAGAGAGCCTCAGGGGTACAACTTTACCAAACACTGTTCTCTGTCATCATTTTTAACTGGCTCCAGAACGGCACACAAGCTCTCATCTCTATTTCACACTGGGGTACCCATATCGTCGCTCGCTATTCAGGTTCCATTGAAAGGTTCGCTGTGGAATATCCCTTGAATGACTCCTTAGGGTACCTCAGATCCATCTCCACTTTCTTCTGTTTATTTCAAAAGACTGGTTATTGAGCAAAGAATATTTCTCTACGACAACTTCATCATCAGATTCTACAGTTATATATCTATCCATAATAATGAAAGAATGATTGATATCGACAATATTACTTGCTTTTTTGAAGGTAACATCGGGGTCATTGACATCACGATTCCAAAAGTTATTTGCAAAGAGATTATTAATAGATTATAGTCCAAAATATATGCATGTGGTAATATGTATAACTGTAACACTTGTAACGCTTATGAGTGACAGCGAATATATAGTAATGAATTCTCATGACCACCTGTTTCAAACCGATCAAAAGGCTAGCATTGAAGACTCTTTCTCTACCATCCATTGGGTGCCAAATAAATTGCCAAAAGCATCCAGGTACCGACCAAATACTCTAAACAGCAGAGGCTATTGCGGTTCATCTAAAACAACCAGTGCTTTGTGTACAGAAGAAACAGGTCCAACCACCACTACTGACCCGGCCCGCTGTGGAGTCTGCAAATTCATGCATACCTTATTATATTGGCCTTTTCACATGGTCCTCCATCCGGTACATATAAATTCCCCTACCCCTCCTTATTACACTTGTATTAACTAACCTTTTGTTTCCCTATTTATAAACGCAATTGTTAACTACATACACATACATAACTTTGGGAATCCTGATGTCAATAACTCGATGTTACCTTTAAAAAAAGCACTAATATTGTCAATATCAAACATTCTTTCTTTATTATGGATGCATATATAACTGTAGAACCTGATGATGAAGTTATCATAAAGAAACATTCTTTTTTAAGTTATCGATCTTTTGAAACTTCTGCTTATTTGTTGGAAAAAAGATTTTGAACTGGTTCGCTTTCAAAGTACCTTTTCGTTCTTCTGAATCTCTGCATAGAAAGAAAGCAGCTGCCGATAAGTCTCCAACCTGTCAGAGATGCGTTCTGTGATGCAACAAGTCTTTGAACCATATAGAGGCAGCTTACAATTTGAAAAACAATTCCTGATGTGAAGAGTAGTGACAGATGCTTCAGTCTTAGCAGTTTACTTAACTATATGGAGTTTTAAAATCACAACTCTACAATATCGATAAAATAAGTGTTATCATATTACCAACTAATGCTTGAATCAAAAACTAAACGGGATTTTCAATGTAGAACCCATGTGCAAACGTTGAGCAGTTCATGTTGCCACAACAATTTTGAAACATACTACCGACGGTCTACACCCACCGGTTCTTAAAGTTTTGAACAACCTATCCAAGTAGTCAGTACCCCGCACCTAACTAGCTCTAACCAACAATTCAACAGCCTACCTCTACATAAGTTCCAATCACACTTGTGAAGTCAGAATAGATACCAGGACACTGATCCCTATTTCCTTTGCTTAGTATGCTGTAGCAATAAAGTTTTCCACAAAATACAAAATAAATAATGAAGGTAGACTGGTAATCATTATGCACATAAAGTGAGTGTAAACAGTAACAGGTAAGTTGGGTTAGACATAAAAAGCACACAAGCAGATTAGTTTGATATGGAAAAGAATAGTTGAAAAAGCAACATCTAAAATAGCGAAAATAACGTTTACAAAAACCACTTAACTAATAATTCCTCTCAAAGTAAATGAAAAATTTGTTAGCTATCTCAACCTGTAGTTGTTAATTTGACATGATGTTTGGGTTTGTATATCTCAATGATCTGAAGTCCGACCATGTCATGAAGGTCATTTGAGAGGCGGTTAAACTAAGAGCAGTTATCAAACTATGTTATAGGGAAGTGTTTGAGGACGAAGTCGCACTGCCCGTGAATAAACATACAGCAGCAGTCAGCTGTTCCTCTCAGATGATCAGCAAGCCAGCTATGTTACCTCTACTCTGGAGATTGGTGACAGGGTTAAAAGAGGTCAACCCCTTAAAACTGTAGATCAAGACTTACCTCGTGGTGGTCCCTTCCAGTGATAAGGTCTTCAAACGGCAATAACTCCAAAAACCACTTCAAACATACTGTGTGTAACCAGGCCTCAAGGAAATTCCATGGTGTGGGCAACCGGGAAAGTAATGACCACCCACAGATACTTCTATGAGCATACAAAGCCCTCCTAATCCAAAAGGTATGATATGGCCAGTAATATAGAGACTAGATATTGTGTTTAGATAAGAAGGAAAAGTCAATCGATAAAAGCTGCATCGATTGTGGTAAGTAAGATATAAGTTACGCATGCCAGGTGAGCTCTCCCCCCCTGACAAGGGAGATCAGCAGAAGTAGACTCATGTTGTGAAAGTGTTAAACCAAAAGCCTGGCATCAATCCAATGTGAAGTCTTTGACTGTTGTTTTGAGCTTGAGTAGGTGGTGATGTAGACCACCTGGTTGAAGCACTTGAGGTTTTGACAATCGATGGTTGAGGACTATCCGTGATATGAAAAAAAATGGTTCTCACAATGGAGCACCAGTGCATTTCACTCTTCATGATATCGCAGATTTATTTAATTTGGCCACTTGAACTGTTGGACTTTTTATGCAAAATTCCATGTTGATAATTCAATTCAAGTTCAATAATTTTAAAAAATATTCTAACCAGATATGAATAATTATGATACTTATTATGAAGCCCTACCTACCTACCTGATCACTTTGTACGTTCGATTTATCCATTGAAACGTTATCATTCATTTCGTCTATACACCGGCCTGCTAACAGCCAACTCCATTTACGGCAAGTTTGCATTAATTGAGCGAATGGTGGAAGAAACAGTTCAGTAGTGTATTCATAGGTAAGATCCAAAGATGAAAGCATCTAATGACAAGAAGATAAAAAAGTTGTGGTGTCATTGATATGAATCAAAATCAGTGGAAGTAGAATTCTAATCTCTGCAAGATGACTAGAGAGGCAGGCGATCAGCAGAAAACTCTGAACCAAAAAAATTTGGTGAATATGAGCACTCGAGCGAATTGACGCCGCCCCGCCTCCGCACTCTATGGAAGTTCGCCATCGAGTCACCTACACACCACTACATTGAGAAATACCACTACTGAACTATTGAACTGTAACTACTTAAACGCCAGTTCGCGCCATCTCTAGCGTAGACGTGATATCCAGCTATCGACCACAGGACGTGTGTACTGCTCAGCAGTCAACCCGCCCTCCTTTATGGTTGTGAGCAAGACATGGCCATTGAGAAAGGCTGGCTAGCTGTCTTTGATCATAGGTGCCTGCGTTCTATCTCCCGTGTGAAATGGTATAATAGGGTGAGCAATATTGAGGTTAGGCATCGGTGATTCAGTGCTAGGTAAAGAGGGGAAATCAATAGACGAGGTTGTGAAGCTAAATCGACTGAGATGGTTAGGACACGTGTTACGAATGCCTAGTCCTAGCCTTCCTCGACAACGGGTAATGTTAGATGACGTAGGGTCAGGTTGGGAAAGAGCCAGTGGTGGTCAAACCAAAACATAGCACCAATCAATGAAATCCACAACAGTTAGTTTAAGCGAAGTAGCAAGATGTAGACTTCATGACTGGTTGGGTTCTTCGGGACGGTAAACACCAATGACCGGAGACAATTGATGATCTGGCTCAAAATCGTTCTCAATGGCCAGCGCAGATGCATCCACTCCTTGTGACTTATAATTTCTTCGTTGTTACTGTTCTTTTTGCCTCATATGTCTGTTTACTGCCTCTATTTCGCCTTTCTTTTTACTTTCTTCCCTTCCTTTGTGTGCTGAGTGAAGTGTGGCGATTCGACCTGTTGCACATCAGTCCAAAGTTCTATATTGAAACCAGTCAGTTAGTCACGTACACGCCTTGCTGATGTGTTCTAATAAGGCGCGAAACTTAAATCTAGGGCATTTTTACCGACTGCACCCTTGACCAGCATGTGACCTCACAGTTTGCAGTGCACCAGTATGTCGGGTAACCTCTAGTCTGCTGATCATGCTAGAAACTTCAGTCAAAAAAGCCTCAGAAACAAAGGTAATAAATGTAAGTGCATGTTTATTGGAATCAACAAGTGGAAAAAGAGCCGAAACTTAATTAATATAATACTCCGTAGGCCATTTGTGGAAATAAAGCCTGAAGATCAGTTTGAACCCTGAAAGTACGTTTTAATTGAAAAGTAATACTGTGATGAGAGCTGTCTGCTAGCCAAAATAGTAGACAACAATTTACGTCAATGTTACGTCCCGAATCGGGGTCATGAGAAAAGCAATAAGAAAGCTTAACCTTGAGGAACTCATCAAGCAATTACAGTAAACTTAACGTGTGCAAATATGATTCGCAGATATATGGCTTAATTTTCCAAGGAATTGTCACAAGCAGTACAGAATAACCTTCAGCAGGAAAACAACCGTTCAGAAGACATTACTTCTCTGCTAACAATTGTGCTAATAATAATGTACATAAAAATCGATAAATATCTCTTGATTTTCTCAATAAACGGTCTGTTGCCTAGCTCTTTTCTCCTGTCATTACAATGCTACATAGGCATTTATAAGAAAATAACTTTCAAAAAACTTCAAGCTACACACATACATACATTCTTAACAGTAACACTTTACAACTGACATTTATCACCATTCCACATATACATGAATGTGCACCATATGATATAAATGAAATTCAACTTTATTATGGATAAGATTTTTATTTTGATAAAATCATACAGTTTAGTGCTATACAGGAATATTTACTACTGATGACCACATGCCTTGAGCACAATTTATTACTGCTCATAATCTCATATCAAAGAACTGCTCACACGACTTTCTTGCTTTGTCATTTATGTACATGAGTAAAAATTCATGATTAGACATTTGATGAATAAAATCAATAAGATAGGATGAAGTACATTCGGAAATAATAATATGAGTGTTATCAATCGAATACAATCAGATGGCAAATAAGACGAGTGTTTTTATAGTCAAAATAAATGAGTAACTTGTTAGAATGTTACAATGTATGTGAATTGAATACATTTTAACATTATTTATTTTCCTCTGATTTGACTCATGTGAATGATATCTTCCATTGATTACTGAATCCTGGTTCATTGAGTCTACACCCAACACATGCACAACAGAAGTGACTCGATTCAAATACCAGAGATATGGAAGATATTATTACCACCAGTCAGACAAATCACAGGAGGATAATAAATAATCTCAAAATTCTATTTCAATTCACGCACATCACAACATTCTAACAAGTTACTTATTTATTTTACCATAAAAACACTCGTGTTATTTCCCATCTGATGGTATTTGATGAGTAACACTCATATTATTATTATTTCTGAATGTACTTTATCTTATGTTGATTTTTATTCAAATATCTAGTCAATTCCACACATGTATATAAATGAAGGAAAAAGTTGTGTGAGTGAGTGACTTGATATGACTATGAGCAGTAATAATTTGTCCTCAAAACGTATGGTTATCAGTAGTAAATATTACTGCATAACACTAAACTGTGTGATTTTATCAAAATAAAATTTTATTCATAATGGAGTTATACTCTACCATAGTGCCTAAGTTGTATCCTTATATCAAAATTCAACTGTCTAAATAAGTAAGCTATATTATCTCTAAATCTTGTAAATAACGTCAATAATGCGGTACAGTGTTCAGGTAACAGCCAAGTGGAAATATGGATCACTGATTTTTGTACTCGACGTTCAGTTAATAAACCCCGGGGTTCGAATTCGGTTCCACCTAAACAGTTGGTAGTATCACAAGTCTTCATACAATAAGTGTATAACATACATACAATAGAAGACTCTAGAAGACATATGCCTAGTGTCACACAAACTCGAAGACTTGCAAGAGGAAGCTAACAAACTGGCTGAAGACACTGGTAGCAAAAACAGGACTGCAGGTGAACATAGAGAAAACGGAGGTGATGACAATAACCAATCAACAGCAGCAACAATAACAACCAGCACAAATTACCATCAACGGGAGAGATTTAACAGAAGTTACTCCCTTCACTTTTCTAGGAAGCATCGTTTCAACCACAGGCCACCTGAACGGAAGATGTCAAAGCTGGCCAGTCAGAATCGGAAAGGCAAGATACGCCCTCATTAACTTGAAATCGGTCTGGAAACCTCCAACTCGCACTCAGCATAAGGAGCAAAAGTTCGGATTCTCAACACAAATGTGAAGTCAGTGAGTTCCCCTATACGGGTCAGAAACTTGCACGTGTCACGAAAAGGATTTCCAACAGGTTGTAGACTTTCATCAACAGCTCCCCACTCCATACTGAAGATCAAATGGCCAGAAAGAATAAGTAACAAGTAACCAGCAGGCGAGGACCGATTGCTCAACGAATATGTAGGAGAAAATGGAGATGGATCGGGCATACGCCACTGAGGAGGCCGTCGAATGATATCGCGCACACTGTAGGCCTTTGCTCGAGTGGAATCCGAGTGGGGAGTCAGTATGAGAGTGACATGGAGAAGATCAAGTGTTGGTGCGCAGGATATGAGAGATTATGGGCAATCGTGGATCCAGCTGAAGAAGACAGCAGAAAATAGAGAAAAGTGATGTTTTGTTGACGCTCTATGTTCCACTAGGAACCGAAGGGAATAATAACAATAATACATAGCGTGGTGGTTCACGGAAAATCTGATGCCTACTAGCATATCCAGAGCAATGTACAATATTTCCATGAAAAAAAGTTTAAATAAGTGAAAGAATCTTTATCGGATTTAACACTTTAAGAAAAAATGTAAAATAAACTTCCAGTTTCTCATAAAAGTGTGTCGTTATTCATTCACATGACTATCATTCGGTTCGCAGAAATTAATCAAGACACTACTAGAACTCACGAAATCATGTGACAGGTTATGTAGACTTGAAATACAAAGTGGTGTTCTTACTTCATCATAGGTATACTACTAATGGATGTGACCTTAATCGACGTTACGGACTTAAGAGTTAACTGGTTAATAGGAGACAAACAGTTTTGTGGACTTAGAGTATGTAGATAACATTATCCTCTTACATGAAAACGCTGATAAAAAATGTAGAGTCTTCTGAACACCTTCACTAAAAATCCTGTTATGTTTGGCATGCGATTTGTCTCCGTTACATGTAAAATGATGTTATGCAAGACAGTACGGCACCGACTCATAGATCAAAGTGAAATGGTGGAGTGTGCTGACTACTTCACTTATATGAGAAGTTGCATAAGCCGACGCTAGAGGGTTGGTCGCTGACGAAATCTCAGCATGGAGGGAAAAGGTTCGCGTGGCATTTACCAACTTACGTCATCACTGATGTAGAGGCGATAGCTAGCTATCGATCAGAGGATGTGTGTACTGCTCAGCAGTTCGCTACGTTCTCCTTTATGGCTGTAAGAAATGACCATTGAAAGTGGAAGATCGTAAGTATCCGCGTTCTATCCCTCTTATTAAGTTGTATAATATGTTGAGTAATACTGAGTCTAGGTATCAAGTGTTGGATAGGGAGGGCTTGTCAAGCAGTGAAGTTGTGAAGCCGTATTCATTGAGGCGGCGATGAAGTGTTACACATCAAGCCATCTCCCCTACTTGTAGAGTTATGTTAGCTGACCTAGATTTAGAATGGGAAGAGGATAACGAGACACAAGTTAGGGTTAGGATTCAGTTGTAGGCACTTTTTCTATGTCAAATTAACACCGCTGGTCAGTCATAAACAGCATTTGTTGTTAGTAATAGACACAATTTCTTTGTTATTGCCCCCAGTATCCACCTACACAAAATTTGATTGGCTACATCAAGGTCACTGAGTCAGTCATTCACATGATCTACTATCCTTTCACAATCGATATTCGGAAAAATAAAATGTCAGACTTCAATCAATATACAGTCAGTGTAGCGACTGTTTAATACAAGGGGATCAGTTAAAATCTAAATTCGTTGGATTATTATGTTGATGCAGGCTGGAGGCAAATGACATTGAGGGGATTATCACAACTTTGTAAAGAGTTTTAAGACTAGATCATGAGTACATTACATCTAATAATATATTGACACAATGAAGATTTGCAGATAAGGGGGGGATGCCTTCGAAGTATAGTTCTGCTGTCTGCAATGAATAATTTTATTGGTAATTTACATGCCATGTTAGCATTTAACAGTGAAAGCTTCGTAACTAATCGATACAGCTCATAGAGTACAACAGTACGAAAAACGTTGAATATGTGCTACTCAGAGATCACATAGACTGCTTATGTGTTTAGTAGAACTAAGTTACAGGATCTCATCATGAACTGACATCGGTTAGAGAACCATTGGGAAACCACCAGGAGTACTGGACAGCTGTTTTGTCAGCCTAGTTTGGGACTCCTCAGCAGTACACATCAACTAATGTCCGAACCCACGACCTTCTGGTTACAAGGCTAGCGAGATCGTAGATGATTAAGCCACTGGGACCCAACCCAATGGCCAGTTTATGAGGAGGTGTCAATAGTACTCAGTTGCCCAAACTAAAATATATGGAGCAAGACTTGAACACAATATCAACTGACTGAAAGGGGGGGAGAAGGACTGCTCAACTGCTCCACTAGATGATAAACTTAATTACTGTATTTTAGGATGGTATAAAAACAAACAATTTTTAAAAAAGTCAATAAAGTTACCTTTGTAACCATTGGTTTCAAAATTGGCAAAACATCAATTGTACAATATTCAAATAAAGTATTTGTAGCATTACAAGCTGATAGTAGAAATTGTTGAGTTTCATCTCTTCTTCCAGATGATAAGCTGATGGCATTTGATGATATTGTCAAAACATTGACACGATGTAGATCTAGCGTTATATTGGAAACTAGACAATCTGCATTGTCTGTGATGAGTTCGTTTAAACTACAATTTGAAAAGATAAATATATGATATGTATATTTATCGATCTGTAATCAAAATTGCCATCCTAAAACCTAACAGATGAAAATCAATTGAATGCTCATCAATAACTGAATACAGGACCGAGTTGCCTGGAGTTCTAGCAAGTGGGGTTAGAAGTGACAGGCTGTTGGATTCTATAGCTTTAGTTCAATCGTTAAAGATTTCGCCGCTGAATCCGAAAGTCCTGGGGTTCGACCCTCCCCTGGGGTCATACATGGGTGAATGCCGTTGCTGAAAAATCGCAAACTGGTATGAAACAACTATGTAGTACGCCATGGTTTCAAGTACTTCTCGCTAAGGGACGTTGTTTGTTAATCCATTTTCACAAACCAACACTTGACAATTATCGAGTATTGGTTTGTAAGGATTTTGTTAGATTGGTTGAAGGATTTCATCAATAAGACCATGAAGCTTAATGGTCTATGAGCTCGCTAGCCTTGTAACCAGAAGATCGTTGGTTCGAACCATGGTGGTGGGTGCGAACTTCTGAAGAGTCCTACACTAGGATAAACAGCTGGCTGTTCAGTACTCCCAGATGGTTATCCAATGGTTCTCTAACCGTTTGTCTAATCCTCCAACTGGGCAATTAATCAGATTTATCACTTAGCCTAATTTGTTGAGAGGTAAAGTGATACTTATGTAAATGAACACAACAACATATGCAAGTTTTGTGAAACAGAGAAACAACGCATACATATACTCCCCTTCATAGCTTTAAACGAGCACTAGTCAAGACTCTGTACTATTGAGCTAGGAAAATATGTTCTACAGAGAAATTAGATAAAGAATTTCTGATTCTTGAAAAAAAATATTGAAAAACAACGACCACCACCAGAGGTTCATTAACAAGGAGTACGGAAGATCTAAATGCTCGAACATCAAACAAATCACAGTGAGGAAAAAGCCTGTCTTCATTCAACTCCATTTTAAAGGTGAAAATATTACAGCAATAGTCAACAGATGATTGACTGCGTCACTAGCCACAGCCTATCCAAGCTGCAGCTGGCTAAGTTGGTTTCCATCAATTGGACAACATGCTCCTTGGTGCAGTCAGAAGTCGACAGATACCCTAATTATGTTAACCCCAAGTGTTTATACAAATTTACATGTATGCGCGGAAGCAATTACATTGGGGGAACGTGAAGAAGAAAGGTACACCTCCGATTTTCTGAACATGTACCGAAAAACCTAAGTCTCCAGCGGGGAACAAATGCTTACAACAGTAACATTATCAGGCATTTTCTCCATACAGGACATGAGGTGGAAATCGCGGAATCCTTAAAAATCATCAATAGACAAATCAGGTAAATTCTCCTCAAGTTTCCCTAAGCAATCTCCATCAAGTACCTGGGGACCGATTTATGTGTTCAGAAAGAAGCAGTTATCGGTCTTTTCTTGCCCTGAATGGTAATTGGTTGTCTTCACCGTTTTTCTCTTTCATTTTATTACGTAATCTTTGGCTTTAACCTCACCCCACCCATTCTGATATAGTGTAATTTTGCTTGTCTCTTATTTCTATGATTTCAGCTGAACGCAGTATACTGTTACCCAATTTATCAGTTACTCATCACCTTACGCATCTCTCGTGTTTATTAATTGACTCCTTTACGATTGCATGCCTACATTTACGTTGTTTAAACTTGAACTCTCTGTGCAAAAACTATGTAGGCGTAATTTTCTGAGCACTGTTCACTAATCCCGGAGCCTCCTGTCAACTGACATTATGTAAAATTTACAAGGATGTTAAACCTGTTCTGACAACAGTAAAGAATAGACACCAAAACTAAATGACCTTGAATCAACCAATCAGACGGCTGAGCCTTACACATGGATGGTGTTCATAATTTTCTCTGCAAGTTTCACTTACAGATATCTTAAAACCAATAATACAACGACTGGTCAGTCCTCCTAGGCACTACCATTTTATACACTAGAGTGGAAGGGTTATTCGCAACTATCATCATTAGACAATATTTACCATAAAGTCAATCATACTCCTGGATTAGTAGATCCTATTAATGGAACTCATACAAATCCTACTGAAGGATTTTAGGTGCATCTACAAAAATGTAATATGATAGTAAATGGTTCCCGATATATGATATTGTTGGTGAGAGCTGTCTGCTAGCCGAAATTGGTACGTCAATGTTTACGTCCTAAATCTTGGTCATAAGAAAAAAAAACAAGAACAAAGACACTAACTCAACAACCAATCACGGCAGACTTAGCGTGGGCGGATACGATTAGCAGATATATGGTCTGACCTTCAAAGAAATGGCCACACAGAGATGACAGAATAACCTTCAGCAGGAAAACAACCAATCAGAAGACGTTACCTCTCTGTTAACAATAAAGCTAATAATAATGTACATAAAAATCTATAAATATCTGTTGATTTTCTCGATAAAAATAAAAAACACCTCAGAAAACTACTATAATTATTTTTTAAACTATTTTGATACATCTTACTTTGAATATTTACAGTTAACTGCTACTTGATTTAAACAAACTCGCGCTGTCTGACCAATTAAATCGTTACGTGGAAACAATGATACAGTTGGCAATAAACCAATACGTAAACATTCATTAAAGTGTTCATCTTCCAGATTATACTTAGATGAATTTGTCTTCATTGGTAAAAGATTTATCTACAGATTACAGAAAATAATCATTTGGAAGGTTGGAATTTATGTCAACCAATACACATTAAAACATATTAAGAAATTGAAAAAAATACAGATTTCAATACAGAGCAAATAGTCATTAAGATATCTAGAAAAAGCCAACAACAAAAAAAGTTGAGCAAAGAATATCCTTTTCGATAATTTCCCCTTCTGACACTACAATTATATATGCCTATATGCATAGAATATTCTAGAATAGGAGTCAATAACAATATTGGTGTTTTTTGTCTAAATAATATCGATTTGTTAAGTAAGATCCGAAAAAGGCCTTATCCTTACAACTTCACTTTCTCGATGATAACATCGATGAGATATTAACACAACACCTAAGGAATACGGCGGTAAAAAGAGCACTCAGTGCTGCTAAATTATGCTGTGTCTTAAAAAACCCTTTTTGATTTCGGGAGTTAAAGATAAACTACCTAATTCCACCTCTTCCATGTGTATCTATCAATTTGATTGCTTCTGTGGAGTGATTCACTTGCATAGGCCGTACAATTAGGCGTGTTTCTCGTCGGATTTCCGAACATCACCCTTCGAGGTTAAGTAAGTGTAACGACAGAAGGTAAGAGTCAGGCAACAGATCATTTATTAAGGAAATCAACGCATATTTATATATTTTCATGTACATTACTATGGATATTTAAACAAACAAACACAGTCTTCCGATTGGTTGTTTCTCACGTAAAGTTAATCTTTCATCTATTTGTGACTGTTTCTTGAATGTCAAATACTCTAAATGTTAACTGCATCCGACTACGCAAAGTCTGCTGTGGTCGGTTTTGAATCAATCTTTGTTCACATTTTCTCACGACAAATCTTGGGAACGTAAATATTGACGTAAATTACTGTCTACCAATTTGGCTAGTAGACAGCTCTCACCACATAAGGAACGAACAAAATCTATTCATAGCTCTATTCTACCTCATCTTGTGGATACAGAAAACACGATTGATGTTAACGAGGCAGCCTCCAAAGTCATTTACCGCATGCCAACTAATCTTCACCTTAAGAGTTCGCCGACCGCATATTGCTGAGGCTGGCTGTTGGGATCTACATTAAGAAATCTAACTCAGGCATCCAAAAGAAGCTGGTTCAGATACTACTCTTACCTGGACCATCAAGATACTAATGGTCCTTAATTGGTTGTAGAAATTTTCTTAATTTCATTTGTTATTCTATTTGCAATTATATTTGTATGCCTATTATAATTTAGGCATCGTTAGTGAACCATAATTCCATTGACCTTACTTAACAAGTCGGTAGTATTTAAAAAAAACGAATATTGTTATTGAGTAATATTCTAGAATATTCTATGCATATAAACATTTATGTAATTGTACAGCCAGAAGAGGAAATTATCGAAAAGAATATTCTTCGCTCAACCTTTTCGTTTTTCCTAGATGTCTAAAAATACGGAGTTGAATTCACAAGTGAATACACAAGCACCGTTCATTGAATTCATCTCACCGTTGCAGGATTGGACTACACCGACCCCTAGATTTGAAATAGGAAGTGAAGTGGTAGAGCACGTTGACGGCTTCACTTACTTGGGAAGTACCATCAGCCCCAACGGGTTGATCTCCGACGAAATCTCAGCACGAATACAGAGGGCTAGGTTCGCATACGCCAGTTTACGCCGTCTCTGGCGTAGACGCGATATCCGACTATCGAACAAAGGACGTGTGTACTGCTCAACAATCCTCTCTATCCTCCTTTATGGCTGTGAGACCTGGCCATTGAGAGTGGAAGACATGAAAAGATTAGCTGTCTTTGATCATAGGTGTCTGCGTTCTATCTCCCGCGTGAAGTGGTATAATAAGGTGAGCAATATTGAGGTCAGTCATATGTGGTCGAGTGCTAGGTAAGGAGGGGAAATCAGTCGACGAAACTGTGAAATTACATCGACTGAGATGGTTAGGATATGTGTTACGTATGCCTAGTCATCACCTTCCTCGACGGGCAGGTTAGCTGATATAGGGTCGGGCTGGAAAAGAGCTAGTGGTGGTCAAACGAAAACATGGCACCAGTCAATGAAATACACAACAGTTAGTTTAAGCCACGTAGGAAGGTGTAGACTTCCTGACTGGTTGGGGTCCTCGGGACGGTAAAAGCCAATGGTTGGAAACAATTGGTGACATGGCTCAAAATCGTTCTCAATGGCTAGCGCAGATGCATCCACTCCTTGTGACTTATGATTTCCAATGAAACTGTTTTGTTCTTCGTTATTACTATTCCTTTGTCTCACACCTCTGTTTACTGTCTCTAATATGCATTTCTCCTACTTTCTTCTCTTCCTTTGTGTGCTACATGGAAGGAGTGTGGCGAATTGAACTGCTGCACATATGTGCAAAGTTCTATGTCGAAAACCGACCGACCGACCTCCATTATTTAATATTCTTGCAGCTAGCATACATATTTATATCCGAATCTAGATACTACTTATAAATCTTGAGAGTAGCACAAACCACAAGTACACTTTTTCGTACCTTTCCTTTCCGGGCCATGGCGTCTGTTGCCAGTTGAAGGCATAACAGATTAACCAGAGCATTAAAGTTAGTACTCGTTCATAGTCTACTACGTCATAATTACAGTTATAATGTAGTGAGAGCTGTCTGCTAGCCAAAATTCTAGACAACAATTTCCATAAATGTTCACGTCTGGAATCACGGTCATGAGAAAACAAATAATAACATAGCTTAACCTTGAGAAAATTACCAGCCAATCACAACGGAGTTAAAGTATAGAAATATGATTCACAGATATATGACTTCATTTCCTGAGAAACGGCCACAAAAGCAATAACAGAATAACCTTCAGCAAGAAAACAACCAATTGGAAGAGGTTGCTTCTCCGCTAACAATAATGCCCATAAAAATCAATAAAAACCTCTTGATTTTTTCAGTAAACAATCTGTTGTCTGGCCCTTGTCTTCTGTCGTTGCAATAACATATTTTCTAGGCTGGTTTACCAGCAGCCAGAGTTCCTCGTTGCTATTCTATTTTGACCATCTCATTTTCAGCATAGACTGTCAGTCTTCTGCGTTATTTAATGGAGATTTAAATCATCATCAATTTAACTTCAGTGAGTGAAGTACTCTGGGTTTCAAGGATAAAATCATACACACAAACACGCACAAACACACTGATCACTAATCATATATACGGCAAAAAAAAAGAAATCACATCAGAAAAAAAAAATTAAACCCAACTTACCTGTGATATAGTACAAAACATTTCTAGTAACAAACATATAGATATCGAATTTATTTTAATATCTTTCAATTGATTTTCCTCTGTAGACTTTGGAATATCTTCATTCTTTACAGATTCTATAGCCGGCCATGATTTATACGTGGTATTTTGTTTGGAGATATCCACATTGTTATTTTCAACAGTGTTGTCAGTATTTTCATATAATAAATCAGTAGGCAGTTTTAATATCTCTGAATCAAAGTATAGGCTCATAAAGCTTCTACACAGAAGCATATTAAACAAAAAGGAGTAAAGATGAGTAATGTTCATGAATGTTGATTAATAAGGAGTATGCGGGAAAAATTAACAAACAAAAAATATAGGCTATGTTGACAGGTTTATGAGACTCAACCTTAGTTTTATTTATTTAGAAGACAATGACGATATCAGGAGGTTAGTTACAGTATATAATGAGACGAAAATACAAGGAGAGAAAAAATTAAAGTAGTTAAGGAACAACTGTATGAAAACATCTAGCGATAATTACCAACAGCATTCAAAGGAGAGTTCATCAATTACCTTATATCAACTTCAGAATAAGAAGAAAGAAGGTAACGTAACTGATTCCGACTGACAGCCATGTTTCATGACGTTTGTCTTGAGTTACAGAGTCACATAACGTATAAGCCCCTACTAAGGGAGTCATGATGTAACCTTAATTATTCTTCATACAACAGTGCCATGTCACATTTTCTCACAATCTTTCCTCTTTATCTGTCTAACCGTCAAATGACCTTGATTTGACCAGTTAGACAGCTCAGCATTACAGATGGTTGCTAGTCATAATCCTCGTTGAAAATATCTCCTAGACTTGGTTTTTGACTTTTCGGTAGAAAATGGGTTGGTAGCGAGGTTTAAAACATGCGTATGTGGAGGGATGCGTCGGTGGCATAGCGGTTAGGACGCTCGCCGACCATGCACATGGGCCGGGGTTCGATCCCCGGCCACAGACATACTCCTTTACCTCACTAAGCCAAAAATAAAGCTGGTGAAGAGGAAAGGTTGGGCACGAGGCTAGCAACCCCATCCTGTAAAATAAACACTGCTACAGAAACTTCAAGCCACTAGCTTGAAGCCCCATGTTTCACTGGGGAACGTGAAGGAATAAAATATGGAGGGATAATGACTCTGAAAAGTATTGACGGGCTACCGACAGTTATACATTCAAATGCAACCACTTTTTATGTGAGGAAGTCTGTATAAGTTGGTATGTCTAGAACCACTTCTATGAGAATCTGGTGTCAGTTTTTGCAGCATATTAGAGATATATACCCTATATGATTCATTTTTATTACATATATATCGTAGATACACTTCTTTGTAAATTGAGAACCACTTCTCACCTAGAAGAATCTGATTAGCTGTTTCAAGGTAGTCTGAAGTTGGTGTCTATTCTGTTGCCAGTTGCACATATCGAAACCCCCACAGTCAATGTATCGAGATGACATCATCTACAGAAAGACGATCTGCATTATGTCCAAACACACGCCATTGGACTTGAAAACTACTAACGCGGTGACACCAGTGGCTTCAAGCAACGCTATGAGAAATAGTGATGATCTGACACTCAGATTTCTGGCACGGAGACGTACAGTTTAACAGGATTAGGATTAGAGCAAGACTAAACATACTAAAGCATTGTAAACTCAACTTTTGGCGGCCATAGGTTGCCTAAGGTTGGGGAATTTGAGAGTTCTGGTGGTTTCAACTGTGACTCAGAAGCTCTCAGCTGGATGATGTGGGTGGTAACCAATTATTTATATCATTCAATCAATCGATCAGAAGTATATACCATCATGTAAAAGTTTCACCCGTCAGACAACCTCCAGTACTCACAAGACTACCTAGATATGTTTAAGTTATAGTGATTCATATGCAATGGTGAGTACAGACAGGGGACCCTGTCAAACTATCACCAGTACTTTACACTTGAAAGGTGTAAAGCAGGAAATAAAAAAGTCGTGTGTAAAGTTGTTCGGCAACAAATAATAAAAGATATAAATTAAATTAACAAATTACCAAACTTACAGGCAAACGGTTTTACGTTCGCTTAGTGATATATTATCTAAAGATGAAAAGTAAACGAAACGACATCGCAGGTTTTAGAACAAAATAAAGGAGATATATGTGTATATATTTATATAAGGCTAAAGTATATGTGGCGTATCCTAAAGTTTGTGGAAGCCCACTAAGCACCACTAACTACCAATGGAGTGCGACCGCACCAATGACCTTGAAACGCTCACTGAGCAAGTTAGTGAAACCTGACAGATAGTGCTGTCATCGTCAGTAAAATATGCTCATCGAAGTGTAATGCTATTAAATGGAATATCTGGCAAGTTTCACCTTAGGCTTGGGAACGACTACGTTACGCTTTAAGCCAAGGACAAGTTAAGGTTAGGTTAACCTAATGAAGGTGACATTAGGGTTGGTTCGAGTTAGATTACAGTTGTTAGTTTAGGGATATTTTCACGTTAGATTTAGAAGACCTAAATAATTACATGCATAGAATGTGGTTAAATTTCTCTGTTGATATAAGAATAGAACTTGTACACTGTGGTACGTTATAATTCCATTGTGAGTAAAATTTATTTTGATAAAGTTTTAAGGTGTTATACAGTAATATTTACTGATGACGTTTCGAGCACAATTTATTGCTCATTAAATATTATTGCATAACATTATGAGGCTCTATCAAAATAAATTATACCCACAATGGAATTATACTCTGATGATACTCCAACTTATCACATGTGAGAGGAAAGTATCCTCTATAACACTTTTATACAATTTCTATGCAATTATTTCATAAATATATATGTTCCATACACAAAAATGCCTCCTTCACGTGATTGGTGCGTTCGAGGTCATTCGCTGTGATTGGTAGTTAGTTAGTGGTGCTTAAAGTTTAACTTTGCCTAAAACCTCATAAAGACAGAGACTAGAACTGTTCATAACCATAAGTGAACGGTTAGCGACAGACGGTGTGTATCTATGATCTCTTTACAGTATTTTGACACTTAATATTTCAAAGCAACAGACAGCAAGTTTACAGAAGTTCAAACAAGGCTCTTCCGCAAGCACGATGACGTCTGTTGGCAAGAACGTGTAAATGTGAGAAGGAAGCAACAGTTCTAAACGATAACAGTCAGAGATTGCCCCGCAATATCCAAGCTACTGTGTAGTCACAAACCTAGTATAAAGAATTGTAAGATCCATAATCTGTACCCAAAAAGACTCTGTAACTTGAAATGTATGCATAATTGATTCAGCGGCATAAACACTCAACAACCATGAAAAAAACAACAACAGGGTTTCCAGTATCGACTACTGATACACCTATTACAGCCTGAGGAATTGGCTAGTATCATCAGCCCTCTCACATACTGATACATGGGAATATAATAAATCAATAATTTTCGACCACCTCAATCCTTACAATTCACTAATAATGAATGAGTAACAACATATGGTCGGTCTATCCTAATCGAAACACACACACTTATATAACTGTATCAAGTTATCTATCGATCTATCTATTTCATAATAATAAAGAAAGAACTCACCATTGATCATATAACCCGCAATACCATAGACAATAAGTAAAAGGCAAGAAGCATGAAAAGAATGATCATTTGTATCCATAATATCACGACATGTATCCAGAAACAAGTCAATTGTTTCTCCTATAAAAGCAAATATACAAAAGGACAATGAGATTTCACCGACTGATTGACTGACTGACTGACTTATACACGAAATTGCAACAGTTCAACAGTTCCGTGCAGTCAACAAGGTTACAGCAAAACAGAGAAAATGGGAATTCAAAACAATTATAGTGAGTAGAAATACATGGCAGAAAGTATAGTAACACAAAAAAGTATGAGGGTAACGAGGAGTAAATGAGTCTATGCCACTCAATCAGAACGACTTTTGAGCCATGTTGTAACGGTAGAAGACGAAAGACTTGGTAAAGGAATGTTTATTGCAACTTAATATCTGTATCTAAGCGAAATTATGTACACCTTATCTCCAAATCATCATTCGACAGATCTTCCATGTTGTGGAACTTCTGCACTTCTTTCATATTGTGTTTCTTTGTGGTTCTTTTCACGTCCCCCATGTATCTATCTCCGCAACGCTGTGTCATTTGCTTTCTCTGACTGACGTCAAACGTATCTTCCTGTTATTTCATGTTTTATGCCGACAAACGTCTCTTTATATACTACCGATAAATTTTATCAGTAGCGCACACTACAATACTACCAAATGTTTCCTGACAATGGCTCCTAGCGAATACTTTGTTGTCGTGGTCAAAGCCATTAACGATATAGTTCACATACAATTCACTCCTTGTAGTAGTTTATATTTTATAAAGCTTCCCTAGTTGGCACATCTATCATTAGGTTTCAACTTAAATCAATCCACTTCTATGCATACTTTTACATTGATTTGTTTATCAGTCAACAAATTACACTGAACATCTTGTATCATATATGATATCTCTCGCGCGCAATTCATCCAGTCTTTTTTTGACAAAGTGAAGACGAACATATTTGCAGGATAAAAGTATCTCAATTTCTTTTATTTCACGGCTTTTCTTCAGCTGTGAACAATCTGAAACATGATATAAGTTATTAAAATTTGCTTGGTGCACAAAGGTGGAAGAAGTATCCACAAGAATCAAAAACCGATCCACTAAAATAAAGAGGTATCTTGACAACAAGTTCATTCTTTTTTATTCCACAAAATGCTCATTAATACAGTCTAAAATAGATAAGAATTCTTTGCTCATTTCAACTCCTGATGTATTTATCAATTCAAATGGCTGATACGGGACATAAAATCGAAACTAATCTAGCCTTCACAGAATAACCAACATACACAGAAAACCTTAAATACATCACTTTATCAAAGCTGTGATTAATCTCGCAATATCCTGATAACCAGATGTTTGCGTTCTGTCTCTCCAGTCTTATTGAGTCACAGTTATTGTTGTTTATTGGTTACAACTCACTGAAGTGAACTCATTATTAATCTTACAATTTACTTAACTGTCAGTTTACGTAATAATTTTTACTTCTAATTATTACTATTTCTCTTCACTCTCTTCAACGTCCTATCTTATTATGTATAAAGAAATTCTGGTTGTTAAATCATTTACTATCTGGCATTTATATCACTTTTTGTTCAACAACCATGCCCTTTGGGTTGAAATAAATTTAGAAATATGTCATTTTTTAGGCTGTAAGCAGTTCAGGAAGTGTCGTCAAATAAAAGAAACATGATATTCAAGTGATGATTTGCAGGGATTTGATTTGACTGGTTACAGGATTTCATCATGAACTGATATTGGTTAGATAACCACTGGAAAACCCACCAGGGAGTACTGGACAGTTGTTTTTTCAGTCCAGTTTGGCGCTCTTGATCAGTACTCACCCACTGGTAGGGGTTCGAACTCAAGACCTTCCCATTACAAGGCTAGTAAGCTCGTAAACCACTAAACCACTGCGATTCGCTCCCGCCAAATGCAAGATGATGTTACAGGATTGGACTACACTGACTCCTAGTTTAGAAATAGGGAGTGAAGTGGTAGAGCACGTTGACCGCTTCACTTATTTGGGAAGTACCATCAGCCCCAACAGGTTGATCTCTGACGAAATCTCAACACGGATACAGAGGGCTAGTTTCGCATATGCCAGTTTACGCCGACTCTGAGGTAGACGTGATATCCGAATATCAACCAAAGGGCGGGTGTACTTCTCAGCAGTCCGCTCCGTCCTCCTTTATGGCTGTGAGACCTGGTCATTGAGAGTGGAAGACATGAAAAGATTAGCTGTCTTTGATCATAGGTGCCTGCGTTCTATCTCCCGTGTGAAGTGGTATAATAGGGTGAGCAATATTGAGGTTAGGCATCGGTCGAGTGCTAGGTAAGGAGGGGAAATCAATCGACGAGGCTGTGAAATTAGATCGACTGAGATGGTTAGGACATGTGTTACGTATGCCTAGTCATCGCCTTCCTCGACGGGCAATGTTAGCTGATATAGGGTCAGGTTGGAAAAGAGCTAGCGGCGGTCAAACCAAAACATGGCACCAGTCAATGAAATCTACAACAGTTAGTCTAAGCCACGTAGGAAGATGTAGACTTCCTGGTTGGGGTCCTCAGGACGGTGGAAACCAATGGTTGGAAACAATTAGTGACATGGCTCAAAATCGTTCTCAATGCATAGCGCAGATGCATCCATTCCTTGTGACTTATGATTTCCAATTAAACTGTTTTGTTCTTCGTTATTACTATAACATTGTCTCACACCTCTGTTTACTGTCTCTAATATGCATTTCTCCTACTTTCTTCTCTCCCTTTATGTGCTACAAGGAAGGAGTGTGGCGAATTGAACTGCCTCACATATGTGCAAAGTTCTATGTCAAAAACAGACAGACAGAAACCACTGCGGTCCGCCGAACCAATGGTCTTTTTACCCTGCAAATATGTTCGTTTTTGCCCTCTTCAAACTAATTAAGGGAACTAAGTGTGTTATAATCTGATTCTTTTATTATTTTTATTCTCGTGCATTCCAAGTGGAACACAGAACTTCAGTAGCACACCTTCATTTCGCTCTGGTCTAGATAGTCTGTTTTAGTTAACTCCACGATTGCCCATCAGCTTTCATTATCTCCTCCTTACATGATCTCCTCCATGTCACTCTCAGACGTCCCAACTCATCACTTCTCATTCGGATTTCAGTCGAGGGCCTGGTTCGCGACTTCACTCAACGGTTTCTCCTCACTGAGTTGAACTCACTATCAAAGTTCCAGATTTACTAAATTAAATTATTCTATCTATTTTATAAATTGTACTTTAATATTCACCCTTAACCTCCTGATATCTCCACCATTAACTCTGTTGTCCTATCTTGTAATCTATCTCAAGTTTTCCTTATTTCCAAGCGGTCTGAACTCTACCCCACCTTCTTGTCCAATTAGTAAATAAATAGTTACTCCCTTTTAACACTGAGTAATTCGTCTACTTACATCATCTTTGAAATTATCTTACTCATGCTTATACTTTCTATGTATAACTTGAAATCATTGCAAAAAAAGTATGTTCAGACACACCACACCACTTTGTAACATATAATTGATTTTGTTCAGGATGTACACAGTGTTGACGAGAAACCACGAAATAAAAAGGAGCTCATATTATCCTGCAAATATGTTTTACTCTTTCTTTATTCTAACTAATAAACGGAACTGGCTGTATGAAGGGTCTCCTCAGCATATGACCCCATTTGATATTATTATTATTAGGATTTAGAGTGAGGATCTATCGTGCGTCAGTGGCACAGCGGTTAGGACTCTCGCCGACCATGCACATGGTCCGGAGTTCGATCCCCTGCCGACGCACACCTGATATCTATTGTCGGCCTGCAAAATTTAGGCTACCGATATCACATGCTGAAAATTCCATACCTGTACCAAAACAATACGGTGTGGAATCAAGCTGTAATCACAAAAATAAAAAATAAAAATAAATAAAACAAAACGAAAAAACAAAACAACATATAAACCTCAGTATTTTGATAAACATACTTTGAGAGGCTAATTTCCCAGTTATCGCTTGAATCAGTAACAGTGTTGAATTGTCACGAAAATATTGAAATGGTTTCCGAAATAAATTCGATGGTCGTATAATGGTACTATTTTGCATATTGTTACCTGAAAAATAATATTATATATATATATATATATACACAAAGAAAGCATGTTTTACAATTCTAAAATAAAGTCACTGCAAATAATGTACTACAGTAAACAATCTCCCCCCCCCCTCCAAAAAAATTCAACTATATATAGCTGTAGCGTCATTTAACACGTGGCCACTGTGTTGAGCTTCATTACTTGAGTAAAGTCAAATCAAGTCCTACAGGAGGTCAACCGCAAGGCCGAACAACTGCTCAGTGGTAACGTCTCTGGCTGCAGGCGGCACTGGGTGACGCGGGTTAGAATCTCAGAAGGGACATGAGTTCCTTCAAGGTTGCAGATACGCCTTGCTGATGAGTGCCAACTAGCACGAAACCCAGGTCCAAGGCTTCCTGCCGATTGCCTCCAACTATCTAATATCATCAAATCAATGTGCACCGTGATGGCGAGCTACCTAGAATGGTGGCCACATTGCAAAAACGTGACTGATAGAATTCAGTCTGCACCAAAGAAAGGACTAGATACGTCACACTAGTTACTACTGTCCAATCAAAAACGAGATAACTTACTTAACTTTTTCAATTGGGTGCCTCTGTATACAAAATGAAACCTGATTCGTTCACATTGAGCCACAGAATCCATAGGATTTGCAGTCCTGATACTATGAAGAGCATTCTCCTCGAAAATGGCTACTCAGAAAGTTTCAACACAAAATCTATGAAACCTAAACCACTTAAACTGCGCACACTTTCTGCTTACAAAAAACCGCTCTACTTGAATCTACAATTCAACGGAGACTCATCAGCAGAAATACTGGAGAAAACCTTCTCCGCGGCTGAACTCCGACTAACCTTCCCTACGAAACTAATGATTCGCGTGAACGCAAAGCATAAGCTACCACTGTTGACCAGCCTCATCAATGTGCATCTACCAATTCACCTGCTCGTGTGGAGCCAGCTCAGTAAGCCGGCCGTACTCAGAGTTTGCTATCCAAAAGTATCATTGAAAACTTACCCTCATGGCTTTATAAAGGAGAAAAGAGGTCCCCACGAAGCTCTATTCTAGAACATCTGTTCGAATCATGACACCAAGCAAACCCACAAGCTAACTTCAAAGTCATCTATAGAATACATGGAAATCTTGCTAAAAGAGTACGAATCAAACTTTTTCAAACAGAGCAGAAGCAACGGTAATTCATATATTAAATACTGAACTCTGCATACAAAAGAAGAAGTTTGTTCAGTCATTAAATCTACAATGGACCACTTGATCTATCTTAACACTAAATACGTAATTTTTGTTTTTTATTCCTTAAATGTATTATTTTCTTCCCACACCGCCTATTAAATCTCTACCCCCTTATTACCACTGTTGTTAACTTGAATTTTGTTCAATTTTAATTTTAGTTGAGCTCTATTCAACCCCGTCAATTATATTACGTCACTCAACTTGCTTATTTAATCTTATTTTAGAAAGAGACAGTGATGAAACTTGCATTATCTTAGAGATTATACCTGAAATGATAAAGTTATGCAATTTTTATTGTCATATATTCTCCTATATCTCCTATTCAGTTTAGGACATTTTTTCGTTTCATCTGAACGTCGTTCATTTTACTCGTTCTTTGCTACTTTATTACCGTTATCAATGATGTTAGCCTTCACAATCTAAACGTAGAGGCTTACACATATCCAACCAACTACAGTTCATTTCAAGGATTGATCACGAACTCAATTCAGTTATAGAACTAGTGACAACCTGGGACTACTGAACAGCCACTTACTTCGTCCTGGTTCGGGACTCTTCATCAGTACGCATATGTTACCCCATACCATAGCTTGAACCCACGACCTTCATGTCACAATGTAAACTTGTTGACTATCCACAGCCAATAAGGACGGAATCCAATGGCCCACCAATAGCGCCACTAACAGCTGTCAATACCCTTGGAGACTATATATCCCCACACACCCAACTGACATTGACAAGTACATATTTCTAATAGTACTGTTTGATGTTTTCCTGTTGCCATGGCAACTATTTTTCTTCTTTTATAGTTTATAAGCCAACCGTTTAGTTTTGCGTGATTTTATTTTCAGATTTGATCCAAATATATATTAAACAATTAAGTAGAATGAATTAACATCCTATAAATAAGTAAATAAACATTGTATACATGAGTGGTTTAGTGGCGTGTTGCTACCTGATAAGATACCTCAATCTCTGCGCCATAAGATGATGCAAGAATGTTACCAACTAGCACATACAGGAATAGGCAAACAACCGACCCCTTGAGACAAAGCATGTACTGGCCAGGTATGAGAGAAAATGTGGCAAAATATGTACTTGGATGTCCGCAGTGCCAGTTGTTGAAAACAGATCGGTGCATACAACCACCTTTGCAGTCTATTCTAGTTACAGCAGTAGCTGACTTGTGGTTCTTAGATGTGATGGGTTCGTTTCCGCCAACATAAAGTGGCAATCAGTACGTCTTGGTGATGACGGAACACACTGCACGGTGGGTAGACGCCGTTACGGTCCCTGATCAGCTCGCGAAAATCGTGGTTGATGCAGTAGTTTGACACATAGTTGCAGACCACGGGGTACCAAAGACGATATTGACAGATCAGGGGCCTTGTCTTGAAAGCGAAGAATTTACTTTCCGTTTGCAACAGTTGGGTATCAAGGAGATCAGAACAACACCATATTATTATCCGCAAACGAATGGTCTGACAAAGAGAAATAACCGTACACTGAAAGAGTGACTGGCCTCGAAGGGAGGTTACTGGGAGATAGAGCTTCCATTGATTCTGCTGGCACATCATGCGTCCACTCAGGAAACAACAAAGAAGTCACCGTTTCACCGCTGATGTATGTGAGGAAACCACGACTACTAATATACAACACAACCTAGCCTGTCCATCAGGAGTGGAACATGACAAGGCTGCGAACGGAACGGAAAGACACGCCATGAAATCAGAACAGGAGAGAAGATGCAATGCAGTGGGAAGGGTCATACACTGTTACCGAGAGACGTGGTCCTGTTTACATCATCAAAAGAGGAATTCAGGAGAAACGGGTTTAACATCACACAACTGCAGAAATGGATTCAGTGGGGTAGGGAAGTCGGGACCAAGATACAACAGGAAGGAGTAGAATAAAGAAAGTAGGAGCAGCTCTTTTCGAAACTGTTTGATAGGTGGACGAGTGTGGCGTGTGCTACTGATAACATTGATCAGTAGTATAAAAAGACGTTCATCGGCATGAAAAACATCAAATAGCAGGAAGATAGCTCTGACATCAGTCAGAGAAAGCAAATGATTCGGCGTTGCAGAGATATATGGGAGACGTGAAACGAACACAAAGAAACACAATATGAAGGAAGTTCAGAAGTAGCACAGCATGGAATATTTGTGTACAAGTGATGATTTAAAGATAAGGTGTACATAATTTCGCTATGGAGAGATACCAAATTCCAAATAAACACTCCTTTACCAAATCTCTCGCGTTCTACCCTAACAGAATAATCACTAACCACACAAATGATCTGGATCTGATTACCACTCAGTACACTGGGGAGGAGAGGGAGTAAGGTTGAGTGTGCGGCTAACACCAATTCCACCCCGTAAAAGAAAACGACACACACCACCATTACTGACAATTCAAAGTTTAAGTTTCAAGGCCTATGCGCCACTCAGAGTGCAAAGGAATGAAGCCGCCATACATAAATCATCAAGAAATTTCATGTTGGTGAAAGAATGACGAATGATGAAAGTAACACGATGTTAATGATTCAAAGAGAAGATAGATAAATAAATCTATTGATTTCTTTTTTCATTATTCAAGTGTTGGTTTGCAAGGATGTGATTTGATTGGTTACAGGATTTCATCATGAGCTGACATAGGTTATAAAATCATTCGAAAACCAGCTGGGAGTACTGGACAGACTAGTTTGGGGCTCTTTAGCAGTACGCACCCACTACAGGGGTTCGAACCTAGGGCCTACCGATTACAAGGCGAGCTCATTATATATGATTTTTCATGATGTTTAACTACATCAATGAATACCCATCCAACACCTTTAACATCTAGCAGATTTGAACTGCAACATCAACTTTGTGGTTGAAATAAGCAGTTATGTATTGTACAGTGCACAGTCAGAGGGCTAATGATGCTACCCAGATATCTCACACTGAGTGAGGCTCAAACACACGAGACCTATTGGATAAAAGTAAGATGACCAAGTGTTGCTTTGCAAGAATTTGGTTGACTACAGGTTCGACGACGAGTTAACATCAATTAGAGAACCATTGGAAAACATGAAAGTACTGTTCTCTGTCGTCACCAGTAGGGTCCACCATGTCAGGTAAGAGGACATTTAAGGGTTTATGACACTGGCTGGCGGTTGCGCTACATATACTGTGAATTAGCAGAAGTTAGAATTCATAAGCCACTGGATTGGGTCCCAGTGCCTGAATGGTCTACGAGCTCGCCTTGTAACCGGGAGGGCTTGGGTTCAAACCCTTGTGTAGTGGGTGCGTACTGCTAAAGAATGCCAAACCAGGACGAACGCAGTATCCAGTACTTCCATGTGGTTTACCAATGGTTCTTTAACTGATATCAACTCGTGATCATGCCTGTTGCAGTAGAATGCTTCAGCCAATGAGCCACATCTTCACACAGGGTAAAAAGAAATTATTAATACATATTATAGTATATATCTTAAAGATTTTATGAGTACATTTCTGCTTACCTGAACTGTTAGAAGAATAATTCAATGGTAATAAATAACTATGCTCATTTAATTCCACAGAAGTTAAATCGAATGTTAAAAATTTGGCCAAAGCAAAACAAAAATGCTGAAAGGATTCCGATGAATGAACAAAAGTACGAATATCTTCTGGATCTTTAATAAGTACAGAAGAAGAGGAAGAAAAAAAAAAAACAGAAAACGCATCAATGAATGATAAAAAAAGAGGTGTAATATTCTTCAAAACCAAAAGTAAAATCATTTTCAAGATTTTATCATGAAATGACATTGGTTGGAGAACCATTGGAAAACCACCAAGGATTACTTACTGCACAGACAGCTGTTTCCCCCCCCCCCCTAGTTTGGCATTCTTCATCAGGACGCACCGACTGAGGTCCAAACCCACGACCTTCTGGTTACAAGGCTAGCGAGATCGTAGACCATTCATCAGCCACTACGATCTGATCCAATGGCCAGTTCATGAATTCCAACTTCTGCCAATTCATGATATGACGCGACCACTAGCGAATGTAATCGCTGGCGCGAGTATTTGTCCTCACACCCGACCTGCTGTATCCCACTGGTCACGACTTCCCACTAGAACCCAGGTAACTAACTACCTACCAACCTGAATAGGGTCAGTCACTAGTGAGCATCTGATTCATATTCAAGCGTCGGTTTGCAGGGATTTGATTCGATTGGTTTCAGGATTTCATCATTTACTGAGATAGGTTATAGAACTAGTGACTGGCCATATTATTCAGATAGGTAGTTAGTTACCTGGGTTCCAGTGGGAAGTTGTGACCACAAGGGGTACAGCAGAACAGGTGTGAGGACAAATACTCGCGCCAGTGATGACATTGGCTACTGGTCGTGTCATGTCATGAATTGGCAGAAGTTGGAATTCATGTGCTGGTCACTGGATCGGGTCCCAGTGGATTAATGGTCTACGAGCTCGCTAGTCTTGTAACCAGAAGGTCCTGGGTTCGAACCCCTGCGGTGGGTCAAATGAAATCCCTGCAAACCAAAACTTGAATAACATTATTTTATCAAGTTTTTTGATCATGTCCTATAATTCAAATTCATTGTTGTCTGGTAAAATATCGAGGATATAGAGTTCAAGAGATGGGTTAGATTTCTAAATGAGATGCATACATCTTCCTTACAACATGAATGTTCGATTATCATACATCTTCTCTTAAACTAGGATTAAGCCTTTTAGTTAGGTGCTATCTAATCAATAACGAACGAGAAAACTGATAGATAGATCATAAATGTAAATTTATAAATTTTCATTAACCTGACTATTTCTTCTTTTTAATGTTGGTTTTATTGTACTTCGTAAACAGTCACTAATCCTGGTAACAGTCAGCAGACCCTTGAAAGGTTAAGAACCAAAGGCTGGAGACTGTTCGTGACATAACTCTTGAAATTTAGAAGCATAAATTTGCATTACTCCCTCGCTCGTTTGCTCACTCGTATATTTCTCTGCATTATAGTTCCTTTGGATAGTTTTTCGATCCGTTTGCGTGCTTGTATGAAATGTGGTAACTTGAATAGTTACATTGGAAGTCGTCAGTTGGTTAAAATATATAGCTGAACAATTTCCAATTACCTAGATATTTTAGTGTACCTACTATTCCATCTTAGAGCGTGTTGACCACGTCACTTATTTAGGGGGAAGTTGCATCAACCGACGCAAGAGGGTTCATCGCTGACAAAATCTCAGCACGGATACAGAAGGCTCGTTCGGCATACGCCAACATACGCCATCTTTGGCTTAGTAGACTATAGGGCGTGTTTACTGCTCAGCAAGTTCGCTCTGTCCTCCTTTATGGCTGTCGGTGAGACATTGCCATTGAAAGTGGAAGATATGAAAAGCCTGGCTAGCTAGTAGTTGTCTTTGATCATATGTTGTGGATTTGATTGATTGATGGCATGTTTTGGTTTGACCACCACTAGCTAACTCTTTTCCAACCTCATCCATCCTATGTCAGTCAGGTAACATTGCCCGTCATTGAGGAAGGCGACGACTACGCATGCGTGACATATGTCCTAACCAACTCAGTCAGTGTAACTTCACAACCTCGTCGATGGATTTCCCCTCCTTTACTAACACTCGATCGATGCCTAACCTCAATATTGCTCACCCTGTTATACCACTTAAAACGGGAGATAGAACTCAGGCAACTATGCTCAACAGCTAGCTAGCCAGGCTTTTCATATCTTTCACTTTCAGTGGCAGTGTCTCACTGACAGCCATAAAGAAGAACAGAGCGAACTGCTGAGAAGTACACACACACTTCGCTTGATAACCAGCCGGATATCACGTCTAGTAAGCCAGAGATAGCATAAGTTGACGTATGCCAAACGAGCCTTCAGTATCCATGCTGAGACTTCATCAACGATCAACTCGCTGGTGTTAGGTGATGCAACTTCCCAAATAAGTGCATTAAAATAGTGCTCTCCTATGAAATAAATGATTTGAAAATAAAACGATATTATCAACATAACTCTTATGTAAACTAGTGATACATTCCAGCTTACGTGTAATACAACAGCATCAAGATCATCTAAATGCGCCACAAATATTTCTAAGCTCAAAGAAGAACATAATCTACTGACCATCCTTATTTACAACCATGTAAGCAGAGAAAGACTCAACTTACCAAGCACATTTAAATGCCCGAGGATTGTTCTACACCGTTTTTGCAACTGTGATTCATCTGAAAAATAATCAAATTACATGTATGAAGATGTGAGTAATCGAATTTAATAAAAATCTCCTTCATAATCTAAGCTAGATATAAAATATATGACCTAGACTTGATGGCTGATATATACACGACTAAAGATGCTATTAGTATACTCAAACATAAATGGTTTGACACCATAACTACAGTTATCAAAACATGATGTCAGGATAGCATAAACATAATTCACAGCATTTATAAAAGTCAACAGCTAAATGCTAGTTTGGATAGGGGTTATGCCTTTGCAAAACAAGTGCCTCTCGTGGCCCAATGGATAACGCTGTAGAGTTTGAAGTGGTCGATGCTGAGTTATGCTCTCAGTGGGAACAGCATTACTCAATACAGAGCAGATATATCGATCTGCCAAGTTTAAAAATACAATGAAATGCGTGTGCTGGATTACACTGCTAGCCACTAAACAAACACACACAGCTATGTGAATTTTACACAAATGAACTTTGAAATATTTTGTAATTACACAAACGGTTTATGATGAACACTTCTGTTTGATTTTTCAGATAGTTAAGCAATGCATTTAGTATCTTGGATAGAATTAGGTGCAGTGAGACCAATACGTTGGATTAGAAATTTTACTTTTAAAGAGTGGAAACATCCAACAAAATAACTGTAAAAAGTGTAGAGAATTGAGCAGAAGTATAATTTGAAAGATTCTCTACATGAGGGTAAAATGATCACAAATATAGTTATGTATACACTTCTTGAGGAAGTATTATATAATAGCTTCTCATTTTTAAGTAGTTACACATTTTTCTTGACGTAATTTTAGTTGGGGATTCAAACTTCGCTAAGCTTAACCTCTATTTAATAGTTCAGTTGTATCATTAGGTGAAAATGAGTGACTGCGGATCAGCCACGTACGTATATCTGCACCTATTGAATAATTTTCACCATTATGACTGACGATTAAAAAATATTTATAATCGGAAATTTTAAAAATTCGGAAAAATGACAACTTTAAATAGATAAAATTTTAACTGATTTAAAATGTCCATTAAAATCTTTTTTCAAAAGAATGGTTACTGAACAAAGAATATTCTTTTCGATAACTTCATCATCAGGTTCTACAGTTATATATACATAATAGTGAGTGAATTTGTGTTATTAACAACATTAATGTTGTTTAAATAACATCGAATAATGATAGATTACAGTTCAATAGCATCAACATAAAATACACTGGATATCAGAAAAATTAGGAAAGATAATAATACAAATTCATGAATGTCTAGTCTCTACTGTACGCCAGTAATACTGGCTGATTGGACTTGCCTCTTCTGTACACAGAGCACCGTCTGTTTCACAAGAATCGCGATAGCCTCTGTTGTTTGAAGCATGCGGTACTTCGATGCTTTTGGTAATTTATTTGGTACCTGATAGATGATTCTTCAATGCTGGCTTTGTGGCCGGCTTAGAAAATGTGGTCTAATATCGAACTGTTGATGGCTTTTACTACACCTTTACTTAGCCATACTGGGAGATGTTCCCGAGGGAACACGCAAAATCAAGTTCCTAGAGCAACGACCGATATAACCACTGAAAGCGTAGTTGAATTGGTAGATACAATTGGAAGTGGCTAGTCTAAGTAATTCATCTTTCAATTGAAGAAACACCATCGGTCGTGTAGAAAACATGACTTGTAGTTTACCAGCATTAAAAGTTCTTTGAACAGATTTTCTTAACTTGTTAGCCATTATTTCACTAGGTGCGTGTCACCCTTGAATTGCAGTCGTATATAAAAAGGTTTCTTATTTACAGATGGAGAATAGTCCTTTTCCGCTTTCTTGATAACTTTGTCTGTTAGCTATTTTCAATCAAGGTATCATGTATACCAGTGCTTTGTGTGCAAAAGAAGCAAGTCCAGACAGCCACTACTACTGCTCTGGCCGGCCATCAGGAGAGACTAAGAACTCATGAAATTGTATTATTATCTTTCCTAATTTTTCTGTCGGACATTCAGTTTATTGTTATGTTGATGATATTGAACGGTAATCTATTGATATTATTAATTCGATGTTATTTAAGCAACATTAATGTTGTTAATAACACAAATTCACTGACTATTATGTATATATAACTGTAGAACCTGATGATGAAGTGATCGAAAAGAATATTCTTTGATATAAGTATAAAACTTGGGCACTGTGGTAGAGTATAACTCCATTATGGATAAGATTTTATTTTGATAAATCACACAGTGGAGTGTTATGCAGTAATATTAATTGATGACGTTTCGAGCACAAACTACTGCTCATAATCATATAATATCAGTTAATATTACTGTATAACACTGTGATTTATGAAAATAAAAGAATATTCTTTGTTCAGTAACCATTCTTTTGAAAACATAGCATTTCATAAGATGAAATTTTTCTTCTCTTACCGAAAAAAATCTAATCGACCTACCTAATAGGCTAAATAATTGATTCATAAGGCAATTAGTCTGTTCCGTCAGAGAATCAAAAGCAACTTTTCTGATTAATTTATGACCAAAAAGGTTTGAAAGTGATTTTGTATCCATAATTGAGTTTGTATTCACATTGTTGAGTGTAGTATATTCGCTTAAAATCTTTTGAGCTAGAAAGCTACCTTCTTTGGAATCTTCCTTTGTAACTGATACACTTGGTGACGATTGTGAAGCTGCTAATGTCAGCAGACCAGAAACTACAGTATATCTCAGATTTTGACTGTCTTCAAGATTGATAAGTCGATGACATTTCAGTAACAAAACACCTAACCAACGAGCAAAGGCAGTAGACAATCGAATATTTTTGTTAACATCTAACTCCAAATGAACATGGATGATGCTATCAATAGTTTTAGAAACTAGAGAATTCAAGTGCAATACAGTTGTTTTAATCCATTCCGATGTGACGAGTTCTGGTTTGTTGACAGAATTTCCTACAAATTCAATAAAACATTTGAGATTAGTTATATACACCAACATATGAGCAAGTTACAAATAACTCGAGAGAATATTAAAATGAATTAACAATGAAGTCAATAAGTTAAACGATGATATACGCCCACAAGACAAGTTTACAGTAAAGGACTAAGTATAACAGCGTATATACTCGCAGTAGCATACCTCATATCGAAAAGAAAGTGAAGGCAGTTAAACAACAGTACAATCCAAAATAAGAAGACTTATGGAATAATAGGGAAATGGGAGTAAAACAAGCAATCAAAGGTAATTTTACAATTATACTAAGATAAACTATGGGGGTGGGGAAAAAACTTCCCCATGGTAACCGATTTCCAAGTTTGTCAGTCAGAAACTCACAGCACACATTTCACTTACCAAGCAGATCTTCGTCAGACGATCTTCACCTCTGTACATGGTAGATATGGATAGTGAGAAAACCAATACCAAGTCTTGGTCTAGCTACTTATAACTTTTACAAATTAACCAAGTTCACACTAACACTGCATACTCAAGACGAGGAGGTATATGTAACATATTACGGCTAAATCAGATGATCGAGAGAAACAACTCATAAGTCTTTCATGAGACTCTATGACTAACTACTACAAGAAAGATCATCTAACCACGTGCATGACCATATCAGTTGTCAACGTAGGCTGGAAGTCTTTTAAAATCCTTATTTTGAAGAACCATAAAGCAGCATAGTACAGCAATGCAGAGCACTACTGATTAGTAAATAACTGTTTGAAAACATCTGAATATCACAGTCATGAAGTCAGGCTAAGCAAATTTATTCCTGTAAATGTGTCTCTAAAAGAATATCTAGAGATACTTCAAAGATCTCATTATCTGAGTACTTTGAAGATGAAAAAACCGTATGCCATAAAAAGGTCTGCTGAAAGTGCCAGTGTTCCTTTAGAGACACTTATCTGCTTTAGAACAGAAAAAAAGACTTAAACAATAACAGCTAAGCTGAATTTGAGTAGTCGAATCTCATTATCAGTAGGCTGGTAAGTTCAATGAAACTCCTGAAACATGTTCTTGAAATACCACCTCCAGGTCAAAATATTTTGTGTCACTCAAACTGAATACCGATAACTATTGTGCATCAAGTAAAAATTAAAACTGAATAATGTGCTGCCAAAACTTACTTTCCTGTCCATGAGTACCTTCTTGAAAGACAGAAGTAAGGATGGAAGACCATGCATTGAAAGCCGCCTGAATGAGCTCATATGTGATAAATAACATAAATACCTCTCGAATACGGGAACTTCTCTTGTCATCAGTTGATATGATTCTATAGAATGTTGTAGAAAATCCCGGTAGAAAACTTCTTATTGAATTGGTGATACTACCTAATGAGCTTTCAACGCCCTCGTCACAAAACTTAGTCACTGAAAGTGTTAATAATGACAGAGTGTGGAGGGCGTTGCAACATACTTCACGATTTTTGGAGTGCTCACCGAAATTCAACAGGAAGGAGCATATGTGACTAATTACCGGCAAGTTTCCAGGTAAAAACACAGTTTTCAGTTCACTGCTAAATAGAGAATTTAATTAGATAACTTGCTTTAGTTTCATAGATGTAAAGAACGAACTCAATGACGAAATAATAGCCAAACAACACTCATCTGACATCACTATATTCAATTCCCGACCAGCATTCTCAGTTGACATTGAAAACAAAACACAACTGAGATCGTCTAGATACTCCCCAAGAGTTTCTGACCTATCAAGATCCGCTGAAAGATTGAAAAGCAGGCTATACAAGTTGTATGCGGATTCAATTTCATCACATTTCAAAGTCCTGAAAGAGATGAATTTTACAAGCTATGCACGCACGTCTTTGACAATAGGGTATGAAGACAGCTATGAACCTGATCGAAAACCATATGCACATCATTTCTGCTGCCTTTTTCAAGAATGCTACGCAGGGATTCCAACAGACCACATGGATACTCAGTTGCCATTTACAACACTTTTCAAATTGTTACATCTAAGTGACCTAAGAAGTGCAATGTTCAAACAAGGCAGCTTTGAAGTATCCAATGTCATTTTTTAGAGCTGATGTAAGCCAAACTGATTTTTCTCTGCTCTTCTCTTGGTTGCGAGGCAAACGATTTTACTCTTCAGTTAACGTGTTCATAGCTTGTCCTGACATTCAACTTCGTAGCTTGTGCTGAATCAAAAGGGAGTAATGAGGAGATTGGATATATATATGGTTTGCAGGAAGCGGTAAGTTAAGACCGCGGCGCTGCTCCAAATGGAGCTGGCCCTTTCAGTTATATAATGGAGATAACAATAACAAGTTTTAACAGGTAATAATAAATATTATAAAAGTCGATTATTTGGGCTTGAAAAGAAAGATGTACAAACAAGTAGGCAGTTAAATTTAATTCGTTAACAGTCAGTTTACAGAAGTAGTTAAAACATTAACAAAATAATCGAATGAATAGGTGGAATAGTGAGAAGAGCGAAACAAGGGGAAATGGGCAGTGGTAAAGCAAGAGTTTAGAAAGATACCCATCATTTGTGCATGGATTTTATAGGGATAAGCCAACTGAATGTAGTTTCTTGTCGCTGCATTGTCGTTCGGCCTCCATTTAATGCTGAAAATGGAAGGAACAGTAGTGGCAAGGACTTCCAGGGGCGGTAGACTAGAAAAGAAAAAATGTAGGAGCACACTCGAATCTGATGCTCTGTCCTTGGTGAATTGCCACGATGAAGGCAATATTTGCACAATGAAGGATTGTCCATGTTTGGGTGATTCTGGTCTTTCGTAATCTTGTAGGCAATAATTAGGCCATCCCTAAGCCGATGGTATTTGAGTGTGAAAAGACCTAATTTCTTCGTCCTTTCGTCGTATGGTTAGTTCTCGAGATCCATTGTCCCGTCTATGGACCCTTTCCACAAGAATGGCGTCCATTTTGAATAGCAGGAGAATAACTTTATTGTTCTCTTCAAGATACAGTCCTACTTATGTCTTGAACAAATCTACATCAAACCCATGAATGAGCGCACTTAACTGTCTATGCGTAGAGTGTATAACCACGTGTATCCACTGCACATCACTTACGTGATTCACGCTTATGACCATTTTTCAGTGACTACTAGACCTAAGTTGCGCTGTGGCTCGACACGCCACAAGTTTTAGTCACTCATGGAGCATACAGACACCTAGTTGTACCAATCAGGTTGAAAGTCAAACCACTGAACAGTGTCCAGTCTTCCAAAACTTACAGGTCTTCCTGCAGCCCATCTGACTCTTCCGAGCACTAAATCGCTCTCCAAATCTTCATCTGTTCAAAGAACAGCCGGCTAGTTTAGACGCCATGGAAGGAACACCACGCGCCCTGTGACACTCCTGATACCAAAATATGGCCTATGATAGGAAATGATTGACCTTTTTGCAGGACCTCTTGTTTCTAACTAGTCTCGCCACTGAAGTCGTCCACCAATACCTTCCTGGATATTTTTGAAGAGATTGGTCATTTTTTCCAGCCAGGGATGACCACACCGACTGGAAAATTCATATCACAGTATGACTTCCAGGTATTTGAAGCAGATAAGAGATTTGTCACACAGGATCTGCCTGTTCTGACATCATCTGTTTCATGGAGTATATCAGTCGTATTGGGATATCGCCTGATATGATCATTAAACAGACTTTCCAGCACATTCAATTCTACTAGAACTAGTGCAGCTGCTCTGTAACTCGTTGCGCTTTACCGATGGCCAACCTTGAATTTACGAAGAAAGATGGCTACCTTCCACTTCTCTGACAGTTAAGACCATGGAGTGTTGAAACAGGTCTCATAAGGGACCGAGGAGATGTTCTGGGGTGTTTCAGAAAAGAAGACAGGTCGTATTGTTTCAGAAAGGACGGTCGAATGTTGGCGAAATCCGGAAACTATCCAGAAATGAATTCTCGCAGTTTATCGCGAATTCCTTTCCACCACCGCGGGTTTAATTTGGGGTCTAACTAAGTGTATTTAGGTCCACTTGAACTGGCCTGGCTCCGATTTTCTATGCCTTCAGTTGGTTTTAGGATATATATCAGATTGCTCTTTCACCACTCTACAGCTGTGTCTTATTTCAGTCTTGAAGGGGCACTCTTCATACCATCTCAGCCTCACTTACTAGCCCCCGTTAAACAATTGGTTTCCTTATTCTTATTTGTTGGTAAAGGGGAAAGGCTTTCGGCCGATTGTGAGTTCTATCAACGCCATTTATGATTTTCTCACATTATTACACAGAATGGCCCCAAAGACTTTAAATGCGTCATATTTGTTGGGTACATGGTCATGAAACAAAGCAAATGACTAACGGATAAATATAATGAATAAATAAATTGTGTTGCAACGAACTGTGCTGATATCTGGTTTTGTGACGATCCCGTTTCCTCGGTCGAAATGACGTTCTGATCAGAAAAAACTGTAAATCTTTTTGTTTTTGTAGAATGCTTAAATAATGACAACTTTTGTCACACTGTCAAATCACTAATTGTGGGCCCATAGACTCCCCCAATCTTTTCGAAATTCCAGCGCATCTCAAATAACAGCAGGTAAATTAGCTAACAAACAGCGTATGATGACTAAAAGGAGTAGACTGAAAGCTATGTCTTGAGTATTCCTTTGAATGCATAAAAGTTCAGTGAGCTCCATATAGACGTGTATTCACTTTCGCACACCACACAAATACCTCTATCACTCAATTCCACTAAAATGTATAAGACTTAAAGCCACTTAGAAAGCAGAACAATGAAATATTTTCGGAATTTACTCAATACAAAGGTAAAAATAAGCAATATGTGATCATGTTCAGCGAAGAAATTTCTTTTCAACGACTTCATTTTCAAGCTGTACAATCGTATTTATATTACAGAAAAGGTCATTAAGTGGCACTAAATAATTGCTCAGTCAATATACATATATGTGATAAGAATAACGATTATTAAAATGTTATAAGGGGTAGAGTTGAAGTGGATAAATTACAAAATTATTAAAGATTGTCTTATAAGTGAATTGAAAAATGTTTTAAAAATGTGGTCATTTAACAACTGCTAAATGTTGCGATCGACTTAAATTGTAACTGGTAATTCCGAGAATGGTAGTCATTTTCATTGGCAGTAGTTCAAAATCTATTTAGTTTACACTGCCACAGTGCCCATTTCTCACCTTGCTTAGGAAATATCAACCAGGTTTTTTAAACGTAATGAGTCAGTTTGTGAATTTTACGAATTCTACCGATTGCATTCTATTCACTTAAAGCTGAAACTAAGCTATGAAGGAACTCAAGTTTCCAAGAAGGATGTAATATAAGGCTCGATTCTACAGCTATCGTCCTTATTTTAGTTCGGTTTCATCATACATGTATTAACAGAATTTTCTGTCATTGACTTTATTACTTACCAGGGAACAATCTCGTAGAGTTTGCTGATGATATTGTCCATCTAGGTAGTGAGAAGTAACCATGGAATCTGAAAGATATGAAAATACTACTGGTGTTTTGTCGCAGGTGTATGACCCTATCCATTGTATTAAGCAGAATTATGTGGTGAGTGATACTGGAGTTAAGCGTATAGTGTTAGGTAGAGATGTGACTCCAAATAGTTGTCACTGGCACAGATGCTTTCACTCTGTGTAATCTCATGTATCTAGTGAACCATTATGTGTTATCATTATCGCTAACCATTCTCCCTCACATTTATGCTCATTAGATTTCAATTTGATCCTTTTGTTCTCTACCTTTGTGTGCTACATGGAATGTGAAAACTTAAACAGGTGCATTTGTGTGCAGACTTTTGTGTTGAAAATCAGCCAGAATGACCTAACGTCAACAAATGATAATCGTACTTTTTCATTTGGTTCTTGTACATATGAAAATAGAGTTATCTTACAATGATTTCTCCTCTTACGCAAGATAACTTTCACACTCTGTCCCGTTATATCCCATGAATTATTTTATTTTGTCCCATAGCCTAAGTGAAAAGTCGAAATACATCTGATGAAATATTTTTTGCTTATTACCAACTAAATATAATATTTTTCAAGTATGCAATGTAGCGAGTCGAACTGCTGCACTTCTGTACTGAGTTATGCGTTAAAACTTAGTCAGCATTTGTTGCTGCAGCTGCCTAGTGTCAAGACTCACTGCAGTGTTAATTGGCTTAAATAATATCAATGTCGTTTCCTAAGTACAGTATGCATTTTTCCTAGTTCCTAAAGTTGACCAGATAAGGTGCATCCAAGAATAAACAATGAACCAGAAGTCAGTAGCACGGGCATAGGAGATGGGGTGAATAGAAATGAATGAGATGGATGATTTCTTTTCCCTGTAGTACGCTAAACTTAAATGCTTATCTTATGAATTACATGCCTCTTGATTGTTTCATTGTTGTCCTCCTCGTTGAAGGTTCTCAGTCTTCGTAGACATTCAATTGGATGCAAATATACATAGGGTCTGCAAGCATTCTTTCCATGAATCTACCTCCCACGAAGCTGTTGTTGCAAGGCGTTGCATAAAATATCATTCTCAGACGGTAAGGAGATACAGTTCTCACCGGAAGGCTCTTTCAACCTTCGTAACCAAACGTGCACTGTATCTAGGAAAAACTGTAAGACAACACTCCGTGCAAACTTCTTCATAGTCATGTGCTCTAAGATCTGGAACAGTTTACCCCTAGAAATAAGGACCTGTCACTCTATTATAACCATCAAACGCTTGCTATATAAACTGTTTCATCCCAATGACTATGCCGATCAAACAGCACCCCTTAATTCTAAAACGCATCAGCTATTAGAACACTATAACCCTAGACACACTACTAAATATTATGACACTAAATAAAATAAATAAACTGCCACTTCCGTCAAGTAGCAATGCAGCTCTTACCCCTACTTCACAACAAATAACTTACAGGAACTACAGTAAGGCAGACCGGACTCTAGTGAAATCAGTGTTAAGATCCTCAGAATGGAGAGGGTACTTCT